TTGTCTTACACCTCTCTGCAGTTGGATAGGTTTCGAACTCTGGTTCTGTACTCGGATAGCCATCGTAGCCCTACTGTACAAACACTTCAGCACTTCGATATACCGACAGTCAACTTGGCACCACTGAAGGGACTGTAGCACCGCCCAAATTTCGACGGAATCAAAGGCCTTCTCATAGTCCACATACGCCAGGCAAAGTAATTCGCTTACTTAAATTTAATTATTTAGCATCAAGGCAAACCTCTGTGGCTTTTAGATGTTAATTAAACCTATATCTGAATGTAATTTTCCTTTGATCTGATAAATAAATTTTAAAAAAAACTATAACATTTAATTGATATATAAAATAAACATTAGGTGACTCACGCAGCCTTGTGGAATAGGCTGTTAATAGGCTTGTAGTCGTCAATAAAACTGATGATCCAATTGCACAACATCTCGGGAAGTCCATAACAAGGAATCTTCTAAAGAAGCGCTTTGTTCCAAAGCCCATCGAAGGCTTTTGCTATGTCCAAATTAACAACCAAGGATCTCCCTTTTGGACTCATATAAGTCAGATAAATTGGAAGATTAAAACTAGAACCAGTTGATTAGTGACCACTTTGGCGGTCACGAATCAGCTGGTGATTCTCAAGGTACCTTATGAGCTGACAGTTTATAATGTATTTCATTATTTTGGAGAATAAGGATTGCGCGATTGTGATAAGCCTGTAGTTGGACATTTCTGAGCGGTCTCCATTTTAGGGATCGGGTGTACTAAATCTGTCTTCCATAATATGTTCAAGATTACGGAAGGGAGTACAGGAAAACGACGCGATAGAACCGGTGCTAACTATGGAGCCGTCTTCAGCACAACAGGAGGGCCTCCATCAGACTCACTCGACTTGTTAACGTCAAGTGAGAGGACTGCTTTGTACACTGAGCGCTGTGTAAACCGCACATGCAGCATGGAGCAATCACACCGCAGGATGGTCGTTGGTAGTTACCTCCTATTATCGGGAGTCGAGTTGGAATTAAAAAAGAGAACCTACAGGATCGACTTACTCCTTTGCGGTATGGGCCAGTGAGTCGTTCTCCATGTGCAGAGAGAACAAATGGCTGACAGAAGTTCCCTCGGACAGCCTTGGCAAAACATCTTAATAAAATTAGAGTTTGAACAAATTAAAATCTTTCTATTACGTCCACTCAGTCAACGAAAGTCAAAAGGTCGCTTATGGGGTACTTCAGGGAATGGAACTTTTTATTCCATCATCTGCGGTGCCTATTAACTCAGCCATAGTTTGGTCATTTCTGTAAAATTGCATTACGCCGTAATTTGTAGTGCTACAGTGTGTTAGGCCTGTATATAAATCAGGCCCTGAGTGCATCTAAGGATGTCCTCTTCGCCTACATCAGAGGTGGAATAAAGTTCCTGATATCGCCCATATTAAATGATATTTGAATAGTGTGATGAAGGCGTGTGCTGTGCCGCTTGCTCTTGAATGGCCGAATCTGCTGCCGAATTTTGTGGTTAACTTTTTAAATGTTTGAAAGTATGCCGAAAGCCAAGCTTATTTCAATTGACTAACCTGTGTCAATTTGGGTGATTAATGACCCTGTTAAATTGTAGTTGCTTACTTCATTTTATTTTATGTTTCGACGTCAACAGCTATACCGTAGCCGCAGCTCAAAGAGTATGTGTGGTGTTCGTAGAGGTCTAGTTTAGAAAAGGCTAAAAAAATTATGGTTCTTGGACATTTTATTTTGTGTTAATAAGTAAAGTTTCTTTTGAATTGACCTAGTTTAGGTAGAATTAAGTATTGAAGTAGTTGCCGGAGGTATTTCCAAGCGTTCACACTCTTAGTCACTTGTTACACTACCTGGTCGCATTGCACGTATTGTTGCGTAGTTGTAACTGCGATTTACTTGTGCGTCATTCAGGATCAATGAGCATCTGATGGTGTGGTGGAAGGTCTTTGTTTCTTAGAAGACTACTGTTGGTCGAATTGGAACGACCTGATAATCGTCTCTACAGTAGATCGTATCACAAGAAGTGAGTAACAGTTTCTTGTTAGCCTATGCGGCGCATTGTGATCACTGTGTAAGCAAATAACATAAATGATTTCTCTATATCTTGGTTGGACTTTTTCGGGATAACTTGGCGGGAAGAGTGACCAAAAGATATATTACTCCGTAATTATTATTATACAAAGTATGTTTTGTTAAGTATCCTTGACCGACGAACATTCATGCGTAAGTACACATATGGACGTAAAGGAGGTGTTTAATGACGAGTATCGAGAAGTGGTATAACATGTCACAAGTAAGTGAATTTGCAGCTAATATTAAACAAATTAAAACGATTTGATAATATAAATACTTAAAAATTTGTTACTATATTGCGGTCTCATTAACTTGACGCATCGCTGGAATGCGAGGCCCCGCCTGCTAGCCCCCGCACTCCCTTAGCTCGCCCGACAATCGTCAGTATGGTTAGCATCTCTGTTACACTGTTGTAAACATAGAGATATAATACCTATGGAGGCGGCGTATTCTACTATAGAAATAATAGTTATACAAATATCTATAATATCGACATTGAGACGACACACTTGTCAAAAATACTTTTGTTTCTTTTTAACAAAGCAGTAGCTTCATTAGAAAAGGGAGACAACAACAGTTTGTCAATTGCTTATTTTGACAACACTTTCGTGTGTCGTCATTAGCTCATCCATGCGTGACTGCGTCGCCATGTTAAGCGCTGAGTTTTGTGGTAGATCTGCTGTCAAACTGTTGAATGCTAAAAGTTTTTTTGTTGTGTAGTGCAGTGCCTTCATCTTATCTTATAGTAGGTGTTTTTCTTCTATTTATATTATATTATGTCAAATAAGTGTCTTACAGTTTATTTCAAGTGTTATGGTTGGGATGTATTTTTTAATTATTATTTTATGTAAGATGCATAATTTTGTAATTAAATAAATTACAAAATTATGCATCTTACATAATAATATAGCCAATAAAAAAACTGCTAAGAAGTTTTGTAATTATTAAAAATTACAGTATATGTATGTTTGTCGCTACTAGTTGGGGGAGAAAAAACAAAAACTTTCAGGAGTGGTCTTCAGTATGCCTCTATTAGAGTCGTTATTTAAATTATTAAAAAAACCTTATCAATTGCTGTATTAGAATATATTGCGGGATTTGTGGCAGAAAAAGGTTCAGATACCATGCAAGAAGAAGCAGTGACAAACTGTCTTATAGAAATTATATTAAAAAATAATTTTGTTCCGAAATGAACAAATAATAATAATAATAGTTTATATAAAAATCTATCATGATCATGAAACGGTGGATGAAATATGATATCCAGGATGATATCCTGCATATCATATTTCGTGATCATGCCAGATTTTCGAATTTTTCGAAATTTGATAATATTTTTCATTTAAAATCCGAATGAATAAATAAAATGATATACAACTTGCTTGTATAACTTACTATTTGTGATGAATTATGTGCAGAAAAATTAATAATAAATAAGTATTGATTTCTAAAACAGTTTATTACATTTTTACTCAACTAATCATTATTATTTTACATTAATAATATGGGATCTGGGATCAACATCCCAGTAATACTTTCAACACAAAAGAAGGATTTAATTTCTATCTACACAAAAGCCATAAATCAGTCAGTCACATTTATTCGCCAGATTAGTTATTTGACGATAGAAAATTCAGCCCTGTATCTATATAAATACCTACGGAATAAAGTAAATTAAGCAACAAATCCAATTATATAAAATGAGAAAAAAATTCATATTAGTTAAAATATCGATATCAGCTGCGCATATTGCAGAGTTATAACCCTATAAAAGGCGGCCATTTTATGCGCCAGATTTTTGTAGGTAGTCACGCTAATTTTGTAAGTATGCATATACTTCTAAGTCAGTGGTTGTAAATGACGTCATCAAAGTCATGCGTCAAGTTAATGTGACCTCGTTGTAATCTTAATATCATATATACCAACATGTTTGGCTGTGTATTAGTGAGTTTTGATAAACAATAAAATTCAATAGGGATGTCGAGTTCCTTGTCTACAATACTTATCGATGTTCTTTCCTACCCATATCTGTTAACAAACAAAGTCGCCAACAACATATGATTATCACATGTTTATGAATTAACAGGTTTCCAACTGAACCTAGACTAAAATTACGGCTTAAAAGCATAAATATTGTGAATTATCGTCGGAAACAAAATGACCATATTTGTTGTGAACATTTCACAGACGACTGTTTTATTAGACATGAGAACTGCAACACTTTGAAAAAGTGCAGTATTCCGACAATATTTTCTGGTAGTACCAGTACCGTCAAACTCCCTAACTTTGCCACGGGTCCAATGTTTGCCCATAATGAAAAAGAAGTAATATCTTTTCTATTTTATTAGCCTGACAACGGAAACTTTGATATATTTTTAGAATAATTATCTGGCAACACAAAATTAGTAGCATCACGTTGGTAAAATGCAGATTTTTGACAATCGGGTGCTGAATTAAAGTGTAGAACGGCGGTTACGAGAGTTGTGAGAAAACTTTTCAAGTAAGTCATTAAAATATGTTTAATTCTAACTTGTTTTATACTCATTCCGTAAAACTATGATAATTTGATAATTTGTCATTTTTAACGATAGAAATACACCAATAATTATTGAGAAATACTGGTGTAGGCAAAGTTTGGCATGTTTTGTGAACAAGTGTACCGAACATTGCCGAGCCTAGGGTTGACACTTGTTATTAATTTTAATTAGGCGGGCGCGTGACCTATATATATTATGTTTACCTACTTTAGATAATTTTTTGCTTTGTTTTTGTAATGTCAATGGAGTCTTATACAAAAAAAAAAGTTTGTAAGAAAAATATATATATATATATATATATATATATATATATATATATATATATATATATATATATATATATACTTACTCAGTTTTCTGTTTATTTGAAGGACAATCAAAATGAACAAGCCGCGAAGCAAATATAAAGATTACGATGAGAGCTTACTAAACATTGCTGTAGGTCTCGTCGAAAATAAAAATATTACTTCATACGACGCTGAGAAACAATTTGGTATCCCTCGCCGCACGATTTTAAATAAAGTAAAACAAAAACACACGAAAAAAGTCGGATGTCCCACCAAACTGCCACCAGCTGATGAACAGAAAATAGTCAGTTGTTTAATTCTTTGTGGAGAATATGGGTATCCTATTACTAGCTTTGAATTAAGATCAATCGTACATGATTACTTAATCAAAAATGGACTCAGTAATATTTTTAACTACAAAATGCCGGGTCAGAAGTGGGTAAGAAACTTCTTGAAACGCCACAAAAATGTCCTGACGGTGCGTTCTAGAAATAATATTAAAGAATCCCGAGCCAGTAAGAGTGTAAAGGACTACAATACATATTTTGAAAATTTGAAGATTTCATTGCATAATGTCAAACCAGATCATATAGTGAACTATGATGAGACCAACTTTTCCGATAACCCAGGATCTCAAAAATGCATATTTAAAGCAGGTACTAAATACCCAAACAAAACACTAAACAATACCAAGACGGCGATATCTGTTATGTTCTCAGCTACGGCAAGTGGAGAAATTTTCCCACCATATGTCGTATACAAAGCAGACAATTTGTGGACAAATTGGTGTGCAAACGGGCCTGAAGGAACCAGATACAACAAAACCAAATCTGGTTGGTTCGATTCGTATACTTTTGAAGACTGGTTTAATACCATAATTATCCCATGGGCAGTGAAAACCACTGATCCTAAGGTTTTAATTGGAGACAATTTATCGTCACATATGAATGTAAATATAATAACTAAGTGTGAAGAACATAATATCAGATTTATCTTTTTGCCACATAACTCCACTCACTACACTCAACCTCTCGATGTGGCCTTTTTCGGCCCATTGAAGAGAGAATGGAGGCGAATTTTAACGGACTACAAAGTTCGACACCCAAGTTCTAACACATTAAACAAACAAATATTCCCCGAATTATTAAAAATGTTACTAGATGCAACAAAAATTACACAGAAAAAAAAACATAATTAGCGGATTTCGTGCTGCTGGGATACACCTCATTAATCCAGAAGCTATATTAAAGAAATTGCCAGATTATCTACACAAGCAAACATTACTTACGATGAGACTTTTGTCAATTATTTGAAAGGTTTAAGAAACCCGGCGAACCGGCAAATAAGAAATACAAATAAAAAAATATTTATAGAGCCTGGAAAATCAGTAACTGTTACCGATCTCGTAAATGAAAAAAACTCAAAAACGAAAAGCACCAGATACAACTCTTAGTAACGCAAAAAAGACTCAATCCTAAGAAGAATATCATCCCCAAAGAAATCCAATTACAGGAAGACGTGAAAGAAACACATTCAACTATTGCAGATTCTTTGATTATATATAATCAAAGTGTGGGTTATACTTTTGACAATGTCTCATTACACGTTAGACGAGATTCGTCATCCGATGCTGACAATAACCAACTTATGACTAATTTGATAGTAAATGCTGAAATACATCAAAAACATGGAGATATGGAATTATCTGACCAGAAAAATACCAAAAGTATTTACAACGTTCAACCAGGCGTTATTGTGAATGTTGATAAAAATTTATGTTTATCAAATGACCGGACTTTATTCAAAAATATTTCTAACTTTGGTGCAACTACATCAAATGAAACTATGACGAAAAGCCGAATTCTCTCCAATGTAATTATAAAATCCCCAGATAGAATCTCATTTGATGATAGTGTTTCAGATGACTATACTAAGCAGGAAAAGGTGTTTCCAAAAAGTAGGAGCAATCAAGGTTCGAGTTCAGAAAGCTCAGGAATGTATACTGTGCATGATTCGTCTTGTGATGAACATTTTCTTCCATCTTTCAGTGACACGGAAACGTACATAGACGAAATGTATGAATAATTGGAACAAAATAATGATAAAGAAAATGATATGTATGAAATAGGTATTGATAAATATGTTCTTGTTAAATTTTCAACATCAAAGTTGGCTAAATATTATATTGGTCTAGTAATCAAGTACAACGATTTGGAGCGCGTATATACTATAAAATACTTAAGAAAAAATTCAAAAGGTACATTTTACTGGCCACTAGTAGATGATGTCTCAGAAATAACTTTACTTGATGTAGAAAAAACGTTGCCAAATCCACAAGTTGGACGTAGAGGGACATTAAAGTTTGATTTAGATAATTTAGGTGTTCCTTTGTCAAACATTTATTGAAATTCATTACCTGATAATTAGTTTTTGACTTCATTGTGATATTGTTGTATTTTTTTAGGATAAATAAAGTAAAACTTTACTACGTCATATTGTGGGTTTATAGATTATGTTTATTAAGAAAAAGGGTTAATTTCGAAAGACTGATTGTAATTTTAATAAAAACTGCTTGCAATGAGAATTACTGATTAAGTGTTAATAACATGTGTTTTAAATATAATTTTAATATTTTGTTACCTACTTATTTTTCTTATGAGACAACCCTACACTTTCTTTGTCAATGTATGAATATAGGAAGAAATTGTGTCCTAACATTGCCTTATAAAATTTTATCTACTAAAATACTCCAAAAGGTGTTATTCGAAATTGATTTGTATTGTTGAATTATTAAGCTACATTTTAGATTGTCCCACGATTAAATGTACATATTTATTTTGGAGTAAACGCCTCTGGCAATGTTAGGAATATTAGACATAACTTTGCCTTTTTCTTGAAATACCTCCAAAAAGTTATTAATATTAAGCGTAATGTCTAAAATAAATGTTATATATTATACCTAAGTCTTGTTTTTACTCTTGTTTTAATTTCTATCTGCTAAAAAGTACAAATTCAAAATTTATTTTACGACAAAACTAAATAATATCAACATTCGTGAAAAGTTAGGGCATTTGACGGAACCAGAATCTTAAGTATAAAAAGTATTAGATTATTATTTTGAATGTTTTTTTTTATTTCTTCTTTCTTCATTTTCCCACAAACCCAAGGGCCATAGCCAAGTGCCGAAAAGTCGGCTGATGATGTCGAGCCACGTTGGATGTGTGTTAGTGGGCTGTGGCTAGAGGAGATGCCTCTCCCTGTACCGCTGTAGACGAAGTAGAGTCGTCAGGGAAGAGGAGTGTTGGTATGGCCATGCCACTCGACTATCCTTCGCGACTTTGGTTAGGCTGCACCACTTGATGCTTCCAAGTGCTCGTTTTTTCCTGGCTCCGTTCACATATCGGGCTCGGAGAGTCCGTAGTGCAGTTGGAGTGAGAGGCCGTGAAGGGCAGTGTGCCTTGTGTTTCTGGTGCATCTTATCTGAGAAGATAAATGGGGGGGAAGTCAGCAACTAAGGGGCTGCCATTGGGCGGCTGGCGCCCGAGAGGCCACGAGTGTGCATGAAAACGTTTCTGTGACCCTGTCAATTTGCGGCGGAGGTAGAACACCATGGGGTTTTAGTAAGTGCGAGTCTAGACATTTAATTCTCTCTCGAGTCTCAAGATTTAATTTGTACTTTTACTTCGTAGTGGCCCTACTTCAGTTTATTTCTTATTTACAAATTCTGGCCATCGTTTACATTCAAGGTTTTTGGCAGCTTCCTCTTGCGCAACATCCACCGACAAAGGCAATTAAGTGTCCATATGTCAAGCCCTCTAGAATACGTGGCACTGCCGAAGCTGGAAAGCTTAGGAGGATAAACTTGGAATGAGGATATCGGCAGTAGAACCAGAGTGACCGACATCGCCCAACGGATTAGTAAGCTGAAGTGGCAATTGACCGCCCATATATCTCGAAAAACCGATGAACAATGGGAAAAAAAGGTTGTCGAGTGGCAGCCTCGTACCGGCAGGTGAAGTGTTGGAAGTTCCCTCACTAGATGGAGCGAAAACCTGGTAAGACATGGCTCAGGACCGTGCGTTGTGGCGTTACTTGGGGGAGGCCTATGTTCAGCAGTAGACTTGTCAAGGGCTGTAATGAATGAATGATAATGGCATTATATTAATATGATACATAAATAGAATGGACTTTATGGGTAGAGTCCATCTATCCATAGAGTCCATTCTATTTATTTAGGTAGGGTATAGAATTTTTATCGATATATTTTGTCACACTGTCTTATCCCTATTATTAGTTCCGTGGACGTGCACTTCTGCTGCCAGCGCCAAAATGGCGCAAATCAAATTGTCTTATCATGTCACGGTGTATAGCCAGTCCAGTGTACTTGTATATATAGAGGTCAGTGCTTGAAATATTTAAACTCAATTATTTTTCAAGAGCTGCTATGAAATCAAAATTCTTTTTTTATTTTATTTAAATTAATAGCAATAGTCTCATTTTTGTACAGCTTGGGGCACATTTTGGCCATCTCAATTAAAACATAAATAAAACGAAACCGTTACCATACCAGTTGTCTCCGGTCACATGGTTGGCTGGTTAACCACATGTCTATGGAGTGTAGAAGTAAAGAGTACAGACTGTGTATTAAAAAGTGTCCATAGAAAACCGTTAAATAAGGGTGGCGCCACTATAACTACGGGTTAAATTTTAAAGAACGCGCCGAAAAATATTAGTGGGATAGACGACTTTTTCGAGGTTATATTTATTAAATAAAATTATTTGAGATTTTGGAGCTACTGAGCAATTTAGCAGCACACTTAAACCGTCGACAACTATTAAGTTCATTTCATCCCAGTAGCTACTCCAGCGCTGTTGTGGCGAGTTTTTGAACTATTATTTACTGCTTACAGATGGACACTTTTTCAACTATTCTACTATGGGAGTTGGTACTGCTTACTTCGACACTCCATACACATGTCATAAAAGTACAATTTTAAGATTTTTTTTAAAAAATAATTATTGATTTAAATTATTATGTTTTAATTGACTTGTGCCTAAAATACTTTTGAAATATATTTTAATAGTTCATATAATAGCTAGAATTGGATTTTTAATATAGTAACATTGTTTTTATACTAACTTTACTTAATTCAATCCTAATGAAAAAAATAATCAATACAAATCTGTTACTATAAAAACTAAAAAGATTATAAAAATACATTATAGAAAATTTTTAATTAAAATGACTAAACACCTTAAAAAGAAACCAATAATTTAAAAAATAATCACAATGACCAATAATTTAACAAATAATCGTAATGAACACATTATGAAATAATTTAACAAATATTTCATAATGTGTTCATTACTTTCTTATTAAGAGGTAAATAGTAATGCAAAAATCGTAAATTAGCTCTCCTGTAAAATTTAGTTTTTTTGTTTTGTAACGGTTTAGAAATGAAGACTGCGAATTGTTTAAAATAACAATCAATCGCCTGCATAAAATTGCACTAAGTAGACATAGAGTTAAACCAGTATTGATGGACTGGAATAAACACATAGAAAACAAAATAAACAAGGCTAGTAAAACTTTCTCGCAATGCAGAAACACGATCGGCAAACGGTGGGGTCTGACGTTAAAAATTATATTGTGGCTGTTATAAACTGTAATTCGGTCCATGATCACATACGGCACTCTGGTATGGTTGGCCAAAACGAATGAAGCCACCACTATAAAGAAGCTTCAGCGTTACAAGATTGGCATGTATGGCTGCCACAGGCTAGCGTACACTGCACAGTACAGCTACACTGGAGCTAACGCCGCTTAACCTACACACAACAAGCGGCTATAGCTGCCAAAAAATATAATCTTTAAATCTTCGGAGTAAGAGCAGAGTTATTCATACAGCAATAATCGAGATTTTACAAAAAAAAATCTAATCTTAGAAGCCAAGTACGATAAGATCCCCAAACAATTTGTGTTTGATAAGATATACTGGTGACCTTTTTTACCAACTGGAAAAAATAGGGTGTTAAGCATGTGAACGGAAAAGCCTATGGCACTGATATTTCACAAAAAATAACCATCACAACGCTACCGTCCGCAAATTTCTTGAAATAGAAGTCACTAGGAACTAGATCTGCCGGCTACTGGGGTGCGCCCTCCTTTCTGCCAAGGAGAGTCGCTTTCGTATATGGCTTAGAGATCTCTCGTCAGATCGGTAAGCCAATCCATAAAGGCGGTGTTTAGTGGGTAAAAGTCTCCACATAAGGTATGCTATGAGCATTCACCGCCTCCCTCGCCCGCTTTTCGGAGGGTTGCCCATATTTGCTTCGGGCGCAAAACAAAAAGCTACTGGGGCAGGTGTTCGAGCACTTCAAATCCCGTTTTTTGAAAAGCAGCAATCGCAACTGCAGCTTTGTGACCCGGAGTGTTGTCTTGGTGAAACAGCTTCAAGCTCGCAGTTTGCCGCGTCCTTTTCCGTAATAGCTCCCGCAATCTTTTTTATTTGGACTTCTATAAATTATATATATACATAATATTAATTCCTTATCCAATTATTCCACACCATAATTATTCCTTCAGCATCCCAAACTTTGACTTTCTTCGGCGTCGCGTCGGTGAGGAGGCTCGTTTCTAGCTATTGATTGTTGTTTGGTTTCAAAATCAAAATGGTAAAATTTCAGTAAAAAAATTTCTGATGTGCTTGGAACCTTTCAAAATTCACTCTTGAAATGTCGACTCGTTTTTTCTTTTGTTCCTCGGAACAGGTATTCCAGGTTCAGAGACCTTTTTCATATGCAATTCTTTGCAAGGATTTTTTTTAACACTGCCATATGAGATCCCTGTGACTTCAGCTACATGCCTGATGGTCACTCTTTGATCTGCCAATACGACATCTTCGACTTTTTTCACATTATGGTCATTGAGAGATGTGGACGGGCGTTCTTCGAAATGTTTATCTTCCGTGGGTGTTCTGCCCAGCTTAAACTCCTTGGCCCAACATGCGACTGTGGAATATCGAGAAGCAGAGTACCCCAATGTTTCCACCAAGCCGCTGTGTATGTCTTTGGTAGACATTTTATTTTTTGAGAGAAGAGTGGTAGTTGATGACTACGAATTTCGCTTCTCCATTCTCCATTTTGACGTTATCTCTTCAATGATTCGTATTCAAATGAATATACCTCCCGGAAATCGTAACCTATTTTATTTTATTTTTATGCTAACCAAGCATAATTTTTTTTTGGATTTCGTGCACTGGAAATAACCAACAATTTTTTTTACAATGGTATCTGGATTATCGAAACAGTGTTTTGGAAGTATCCGAAATACCCGGATAGCAAAATAATGCATGCCCTATTCAAAATGTATTTTGTAAGCCGTGATCAAAATAATCGAACATTTTTAGGACTTTTTTCCGCCAAGGGTTTTCCTGATGTCTAGCTCGGAAACAATTATTCGTCATAATTATGTACGAAAACCTAATAGAGCGTAGTTGAACTCTCATTTGACCGGTTTATTTTAGTAATAAGTAAATTTTTTGTGCTTGTTGCCCTCAGCCAGTATCGGAATCCTTGGCGTCAACATATCGAGTGACGTAAACTGTCGTGGTCACTTGGAAGAGAAGGCTAAATTGGTAATTTAGCCTTCTCTTATTAATTAGTAATTAAAAAATAAAAAGCTTGACGTGCTCAGCAGAACGGGACAGTATTTCATGCCGGCACACCGCCTGCAACTTTACAAGGCGCAGGTTCGGCCGCACGTGGAATACTGTTCCCATCTCTAGGCTGGAGCTCCCCAGTGTCAGCTCCTTCCACTTGACCGAATCCAAGCGGACAGTGGCTCGAATCGTCGACGACCGAGTGCTTTCCGATCGGCTCGATTCACTGGCGTTGCCAAGAGATGTTGCATCTCTTTGCGTATTTTATCGCATCTATCACGGGGAGTGCTCTGAGGAATAATTCGGATTAATCCTAGCCGCCAAATTTCGTGAACGCACTAGGCAAACGTCCCGTTACCATCAACACCATCTGGATGCTTGGCGGTCCACCACTGTATGTTTCAGAAGTTTTCTTCCGCGTACGACCTCTCTGTGGAATAGTTTACCACCGGCGATTTTTCCGGACCGATACGACCTGGGGACCTTCAAGAAAAGAGCTTACTCCTTTCTGAAGGGCCGGCAACGCACCTGCAATTCCCCTGGTGTTGCGGTTGATCATGGGCGGCGGTAGTCACTTAACATCAGGTGAGCCGCACGCTCGTTTGCCCTTTTTTTTAATTTTTTTTAATACAGCAGTGTAAAGTACCACAAAACTTTACACCGCTGTTTCTTTCTTGTTAATTACCATAATATGTCTCGTGTATAAAATAGTTGTCATGAACTTAATGTAGAGAAATAAAATACACCTATAACATTTTGTAAAAGTTATTTTATTACCTTCTTTTCGATGTTCTATGTGAGTGATTTTCCGCTAAACCTATTCAATTAGGTTCTTTGTTTTTAACTTGAACAAGTAACATCAAACTGATTTGTCGCAATAAGCAATAAATATCATTTGCAAATCTGTGTACACAGTGAGACCATCTAAAGAGTTCAAAAGATTATTGTATTATCTACTATACAATACTTTTCTTATTACTTTTTTACTTCAATTAAGATTTTAAAGTCAAATTATAAATAGAAAAATAGCTTAATTTTACACCCGCGTACCACATAAATACGTGAAACACTGTTGTAAGGTTTGCATAACAAAACTTATGTGCAAGGGTTCCGTAGCAGATTCACCAACACTAATATACTACAATAGGTCCCATTGCAGACAAAAGGATAGTAGACAGTCAATCTAATTTGTCCCAGTGTTTTGTAGTCAACGCGTATCTCTATATTTTGGAACGTTTTCTAGCTATAGCATCTTCAACAGCTTTCAACTGTTTCAAGAGCTCTTCTCTCCTTGATACTGATTTCTTAGCTGGGGCGCCGCCACTCACCGGTGACGTTGCAGATCGTTTTTTTCCGACGACATCTGTAAATGATAAAAAATATAGTTAAAACAAAAAATCAAAAACTAATCGCTTGCGATGTAAATAGAGAGACTGTCTAATTGATACTTCGCTTAGCATTGTGGCGGCGCTGTAGGCGCGCCTCAAATGAAACGAACTGAAGCCTGAAATTACGTTATCGACGCTTTTTTTATAATAAGGGTGACAAACGAATACGCAGTCAACGTGATGGTAAGTGGTTCCTGTGACTCATAGACATCTTCACTCTTTCATCTTTCCTCCACTATGAATCAAGAAGCAGATGTGTTGTCACCCGTGAGAACTAAGATGTAATGCCTCGTTTCCAGTAAAAAGGGTCTCCGGTTCTCTACACTCACCATACGAAACACAGCAGCATTAAGCTGCTATTTTACGCTAGTATTCTGTGAAAACGTGGTACTTCCCCGGTAGAGCCAACCCATTTTTGCTACAAATATACTACTAATATAGCTGCAGCATAGCTCTGCTATGTATAGAGTATTATAGTAGCTCCGTACTACCCACACGGAGCGTTGGCTGCTTCTCCGCTCCGCTTCACGCCTTGCCCGGCGGAAGATTTCCCATTTTCCTTCTACGCTTAAAATGGTGATCCCGAGGTGATTTGATAAGTTATTCCAATGCTGCGATGAACTCTTGTAAGGGTAAGGCTGGCTTGAAAAAGCTGAAGACTGCAGAAGACTGTTGAAGCTGAATTATAGCTGCAGAACTCATGGGTCGACTGGGCCGCGGATAGACCACGCTCTCACAGAATACCAGTGAAACAACATGACAATTCTGCTGGTTTTTGTACAGTGACGGACGAGAGTTAGAGACGCGTTTTGTCAACGTATCTGCAGTGTGTCGTTGTTTTCTTAACAGTGATGACACCTTAAACATGTTGGAATAAAACATTCTTAAAAGACTGGTCAAAGGAGATCTAAGGTGTCAGCCAAGCACACTATCCATAAGCTCTGCATCCAATCCCAATCATTTTAAATAAAAAGATGAAGATATAGAACAGTTGGCAAGAGTTTTCGTGGATAGTTTACGCAGATAACTTTTTATTTGCATATATAATTATACTGGATGAAACAACTAACAAATACAACAGCGAGATAAGAAATCTAAGCGCCCAAACATAACTCCATAATCATCAGACTTGAAAACAGTTACTTCTTATGTGAAGGTTGGTTCTTATAATATATGCTTGGCTGGGGTTAACCATAGCATCAGATCCTAAAACGCCTCTTTAAGCCGAAAATTTTATGCAACAATTTAAGAGATCATTACGTACATTTATTAAAAGTCCTCCCTACCTTTGTCATTTGGTGCTTCCTTTTTGCTGATGACTGTCGAAACTGCAGCTGCCAAACCGGCACTTGATTTGGCATTTAAACTGAAAATATTTTTCTCTTTATTATTATAATTTGATACACATAAAAATTGTTAAAACAATTGTTTTTCATCATTGACCCCATAAGTCAGCGACAGACCCATGTTTCTATCGTAGTGTTTGTAGAAAGGATTTGTCTCAATCGTCAAGCTTTGCAGAAAGATTGACGATGGCAGTACTAGACATCTTGAATTTTTGACGCTGCTCCTTGTCGCCTTTAGCTTAACGCATAGTCGCCTCTAAAGACACCCACAGAATGAAACGGGGTGGTGAATTGAAGCCATCACCACTCGGTAAAGAAAAAAATATTGCATTTGAATTTAAAAAATATATGATACTAGCTTGCCAGGCAGACGTTGTTCTGCCCTTCCCGACGACCCTTTGTCATATCCAATTAAAAATCGAAAATAGCCAGGTAGAGCGTAAGCTCGCGTATAAGTATCATTTATACAAAGGCCACTTATCATGTGAGGCACTGTGAGTGTGAGTAAAGTACAGTACAGGTCCTACAACGCGGACGCGCGGTCGCCAGGTGGAGCGTAAGCTCGCGTATAAGTATCACTTATACAAAAGCCACTTATCATGTGAGGCACTGTGAGTGTGAGTACAGTACAGGGCAATGTGAGTGTGAGTACAGTACAGGGCACTGTGAGTGTGAGTACAGTACAGGGCACTGTGAGTGTGAGTACAGTACAGTACAGGGCACTGTGAGTGTTAGTACAGTACAGTACAGGGCACTGTGAGTGTGAGTACAGTACAGTACAGGTCACTGACCGCGGGCGCACGGTCGCCAGGTGGAGCGTAAGCTCGCGTATAAGTATCACCTATACAAAGGCCACTTATCATGTGACGCACTGTGAGTGTGAGTACAGTACAGGGCACTGTGAGTTTGAGTACAGTACAGGGCACTATGAGTGTGAGTACAGTACAGTACAGGTCACTGACTGACTGACAGGTCGCCAGGTGGAGCGTAAGCTCGCGTATAAGTATCACTTATACAAAGGCCACTTATCATGTGAGGCACTGTGAGTGTGAGTACAGTACAGGGCACTGTGAGTGTGAGTAAAGTACAGGGCACTGTGAGTGTGAGTACAGTACAGGGCACTGACAGCGGGTACGCGGTCGCCAGGTGGAGCGTAAGCTCGCGTATGAGTATCAATTATACAAAGGCCACTTATCATGTGGGGCACTGTGAGTGTGAGTACAGTACAGGGCACTGTGAGTGTGAGTAAAGTACAGGGCACTGTGAGTGTGAGTACAGTACAGGGCACTGACAGCGGGTACGCGGTCGCCAGGTGGAGCGTAAGCTCGCGTATAAGTATCACTTATACAAAGGCCACTTATCATGTGAGGCACTGTACTTATCATGTGAGGCACTGTGAGTGTGAGTACAGTACAGGGCACTGTGAGTGTGAGTACAGTACAGGGCACTGTGAGTGTGAGTACAGTACAGGGCACTGTGAGTGTGAGTACAGTACAGTACAGGGCACTGTGAGTGTTAGTACAGTACAGTACAGGGCACTGTGAGTGTGAGTACAGTACAGTACAGGTCACTGACCACGGGCGCACGGTCGCCAGGTGGAGCGTAAGCTCGCGTATAAGTATCACTTATACAAAGGCCACTTATCATGTGCCGCACTGTGAGTGTGAGTACAGTACAGGGCACTGTGAGTTTGAGTACAGTACAGGGCACTATGAGTGTGAGTACAGTACAGTACAGGTCACTGACTGACTGACAGGTCGCCAGGTGGAGCGTAAGCTCGCGTATAAGTATCACTTATACAAAGGCCACTTATCCTGTGAGGCACTGTGAGAGTGAGTACAGTACAGGGCACTGTGAGTGTGAGTACAGTATAGGGCATTGTGAGTGTGAGTACAGTACAGTATAGGTCATAGACCGCGGGCGCGCGGTCGCCAGGTGGAGCGTAAGTTCGCGTATAAGTATTACTTATACAAAGGCCACATATCATGTGAGGTACTGTGAGTGTGAGTACAGTACAGGGCACTGTGAGTGTGAGTACAGTACAGGGCACTGTGAGTGTGAGTACAGTACAGGGCACTGACAGCGGGTACGCGGTCGCCAGGTGGAGCGTACACTCGCGTATGAGTAACAATTATACAAAGGCCACTTATCATGTGAGGCACTGCGAGTTTGAGTACAGTAAAGGGCACTGTGAGTGTGAGTACAGTACAGGGCACTGTGAGTGTGAGTACAGTACAGGGCACTGTGAGTGTGAGTACAGTACAGGGCACTGTGAGTGTGAGTACAGTACAGTACAGGTCATATAACGCGGGCGCGCGGTCGCCAGGTGGAGCGTAAGCTCGCGTATAAGTATCACTTATACAAAGGCCACTTATCATGTGAGGCACTGTGAGTGTGAGTACAGTACAGGGCACTGTGAGTGTGAGTACAGTACAGGGCACTGACAGCGGGTACGCGGTCGCCAGGTGGAGCGTAAGCTCGCGTATAAGTATCACTTATACAAAGGCCACTTATCATGTGACGCACTGTGAGTGTGAGTACAGTACAGGGCACTGTGAGTTTGAGTACAGTACAGGGCACTGTGAGTGTGAGTACAGTACAGTACAGGTCACTGATTGACTGACAGGTCGCCAGGTGGAGCGTAAGCTCGCGTATAAGTATCACTTATACAAAGGCCACTTATCATGTGAGGCACTGTGAGTGTGAGTACAGTACAGGGCACTGTAAGTGTGAGTAAAGTACAGGGCACTGACAGCGGGTACACGGTCGCCAGGTGGAGCGTAAGCTCGCGTATAAATATCACTTATACAAAGGCCACTTATCCTGTGAGGCACTGTGAGAGTGAGTACAGTACAGGGCACTGTGAGTGTGAGTACAGTATAGGGCATTGTGAGTGTGAGTACAGTACAGTACAGGTCATAGACCGCGGGCGCGCGGTCGCCAGGTGGAGCGTAAGCTCGCGTATAAGTATCACTTATACAAAGGCCACTTATCATGTGAGGCACTGCGAGTGTGAGTACAGTAAAGGGCACTGTGAGTGTGAGTACAGTACAGGGCACTGTGAGTGTGAGTACAGTACAGGGCACTGTGAGTGTGAGTACAGTACAGGGCACTGTGAGTGTGAGTACAGTACAGGGCACTGTGAGTGTGAGTACAGTACAGTACAGGTCTTATAACGCGGGCGCGCGGTCGCCAGGTGGAGCGTAAGCTCGCGTATAAGTATCACTTATACAAAGGCCACTTATCATGTGAGGCACTGCGAGTGTGAGTACAGTACAGGGCACTGTGAGTATGAGTACAGTACAGGGCACTGTGAGTGTGAGTACAGTACAGGGCACTGACAGCGGGTACGCGGTCGCCATGTGGAGCGTAAGCTCGCGTATAAGTATCACTTATACAAAGGCCACTTATCATGTGATGCACTGTGAGTGTGAGTACAGTACAGGGCACTGTGAGTTTGAGTACAGTACAGGGCACTGTGAGTGTGAGTACAGTACAGTACAGGTCACTGATTGACTGACAGGTCGCCAGGTGGAGCGTAAGCTCGCGTATAAGTATCACTTATACAAAGGCCACTTATCATGTGAGGCACTGTGAGTGTGAGTACAGTACAGGGTACTGTGAGTGTGAGTACAGTACAGGGCACTGTGAGTGTGAGTACAGTACAAGGCACTGTGAGTGTGAGTACAGTACAGGGCACTGTGAGTGTGAGTACAGTACAGGGCACTGTGAGTGTGAGTACAGTATAGGGCACTGTGAATGTGAGTACAGTACAGGGCACTGTGAGTGTGAGTACAGTATAGGGCACTGTGAGTGTGAGTATGCGTACAGTACAGGTCACAGACCGCGGGCGCGCGGTCGCCAGGTGGCGCGTACGCTCGCGTATGAGTATCACTTATACAAATGCCACCTATCATGTAGGGCACTGTAAGTGTGAGTAAAGTACAGGGCACTGACAGCGGGTAAACGGTCGCCAGGTGGAGCGTAAGCTCGCGTATAAATATCACTTATACAAAGGCCACTTATCCTGTGAGGCACTGTGAGAGTGAGTACAGTACAGGGCACTGTGAGTGTGAGTACAGTATAGGGCATTGTGAGTGTGAGTACAGTACAGTATAGGTCATAGACCGCGGGCGCGCGGTCGCCAGGTGGAGCGTAAGCTCGCGTATAAGTATCACTTATACAAAGGCCACATATCATGTGAGGCACTGTGAGTGTGAGTACAGTACAGGGAACTGACAGCGGGTACGCGGTCGCCAGGTGGAGCGTAAGCTCGCGTATAAGTATCACTTATACAAAGGCCACTTATCATGTGAGGCACTGTACTTATCATGTGAGGCACTGTGAGTGTGAGTACAGTACAGGGCACTGTGAGTGTGAGTACAGTACAGGGCACTGTGAGTGTGAGTACAGTACAGGGCACTGTGAGTGTGAGTACAGTACAGTACAGGGCACTGTGAGTGTTAGTACAGTACAGTACAGGGCACTGTGAGTGTGAGTACAGTACAGTACAGGTCACTGACCACGGGCGCACGGTCGCCAGGTGGAGCGTAAGCTCGCGTATAAGTATCACTTATACAAAGGCCACTTATCATGTGACGCACTGTGAGTGTGAGTACAGTACAGGGCACTGTGAGTTTGAGTACAGTACAGGGCACTATGAGTGTGAGTACAGTACAGTACAGGTCACTGACTGACTGACAGGTCGCCAGGTGGAGCGTAAGCTCGCGTATAAGTATCACTTATACAAAGGCCACTTATCCTGTGAGGCACTGTGAGAGTGAGTACAGTACAGGGCACTGTGAGTGTGAGTACAGTATAGGGCATTGTGAGTGTGAGTACAGTACAGTATAGGTCATAGACCGCGGGCGCGCGGTCGCCAGGTGGAGCGTAAGTTCGCGTATAAGTATTACTTATACAAAGGCCACATATCATGTGAGGTACTGTGAGTGTGAGTACAGTACAGGGCACTGTGAGTGTGAGTACAGTACAGGGCACTGTGAGTGTGAGTACAGTACAGGGCACCGACAGCGGGTACGCGGTCGCCAGGTGGAGCGTACACTCGTGTATGAGTAACAATTACACAAAGGCCACTTATCATGTGAGGCACTGCGAGTTTGAGTACAGTAAAGGGCACTGTGAGTGTGAGTACAGTACAGGGCACTGTGAGTGTGAGTACAGTACAGGGCACTGTGAGTGTGAGTACAGTACAGGGCACTGTGAGTGTGAGTACAGTACAGTACAGGTCACCGCCGGTCGCCAGGTGGAGCGTAAGCCCAGTATCACTTATACAAAGGCCACTTATCATGTGAGGCACTGTGAGTGTGAGTACAGTACAGGGCACTGTGAGTGTGAGTACAGTACAGGGCACTGACAGCGGGTACGCGGTCGCCATGTGGAGCGTAAGCTCGCGTATAAGTATCACTTATACAAAGGCCACTTATCATGTGACGCACTGTGAGTGTGAGTACAGTACAGGGCACTGTGAGTTTGAGTACAGTACAGGGCACTGTGAGTGTGAGTACAGTACAGTACAGGTCACTGATTGACTGACAGGTCGCCAGGTGGAGCGTAAGCTCGCGTATAAGTATCACTTATACAAAGGCCACTTATCATGTGAGGCACTGTGAGTGTGAGTACAGTACAGGGCACTGTAAGTGTGAGTAAAGTACAGGGCACTGACAGCGGGTACACGGTCGCCAGGTGGAGCGTAAGCTCGCGTATAAATATCACTTATACAAAGGCCACTTATCCTGTGAGGCACTGTGAGAGTGAGTACAGTACAGGGCACTGTGAGTGTGAGTACAGTATAGGGCATTGTGAGTGTGAGTACAGTACAGTATAGGTCATAGACCGCGGGCGCGCGGTCGCCAGGTGGAGCGTAAGCTCGCGTATAAGTATCACTTATACAAAGGCCACATATCACGTGAGGCACTGTGAGTGTGAGTACAGTACAGGGCACTGAGTGTGAGTACAGTACAGGGCACTGTGAGTGTGAGTACAGTACAGGGCACTGACAGCGGGTACGCGGTCGCCAGGTGGAGCGTACACTCGCGTATGAGTAACAATTATACAAAGGCCACTTATCATGTGAGGCACTGCGAGTGTGAGTACAGTACAGGGCACTGTGAGTGTGAGTACAGTACAGGGCACTGTGAGTGTGAGTACAGTACAGGGCACTGTGAGTGTGAGTACAGTACAGGGCACTGTGAGTGTGAGTACAGTACAGGGCACTGTGAGTGTGAGTACAGTACAGTACAGGTCTTATAACGCGGGCGCGCGGTCGCCAGGTGGAGCGTAAGCTCGCGTATAAGTATCACTTATACAAAGGCCACTTATCATGTGAGGCACTGTGAGTGTGAGTACAGTACAGGGCACTGTGAGTGTGAGTACAGTACAGGGCACTGTGAGTGTGAGTACAGTACAGGGCACTGACAGCGGGTACGCGGTCGCCATGTGGAGCGTAAGCTCGCGTATAAGTATCACTTATACAAAGGCCACTTATCATGTGATGCACTGTGAGTGTGAGTACAGTACAGGGCACTGTGAGTTTGAGTACAGTACAGGGCACTGTGAGTGTGAGTACAGTACAGTACAGGTCACTGATTGACTGACAGGTCGCCAGGTGGAGCGTAAGCTCGCGTATAAGTATCACTTATACAAAGGCCACTTATCATGTGAGGCACTGTGAGTGTGAGTACAGTACAGGGTACTGTGAGTGTGAGTACAGTACAGGGCACTGTGAGTGTGAGTACAGTACAAGGCACTGTGAGTGTGAGTACAGTACAGGGCACTGTGAGTGTGAGTACAGTACAGGGCACTGTGAGTGTGAGTACAGTATAGGGCACTGTGAATGTGAGTACAGTACAGGGCACTGTGAGTGTGAGTACAGTATAGGGCACTGTGAGTGTGAGTATGCGTACAGTACAGGTCACAGACCGCGGGCGCGCGGTCGCCAGGTGGCGCGTACGCTCGCGTATGAGTATCACTTATACAAATGCCACCTATCATGTAGGGCACTGTAAGTGTGAGTAAAGTACAGGGCACTGACAGCGGGTAAACGGTCGCCAGGTGGAGCGTAAGCTCGCGTATAAATATCACTTATACAAAGGCCACTTATCCTGTGAGGCACTGTGAGAGTGAGTACAGTACAGGGCACTGTGAGTGTGAGTACAGTATAGGGCATTGTGAGTGTGAGTACAGTACAGTATAGGTCATAGACCGCGGGCGCGCGGTCGCCAGGTGGAGCGTAAGCTCGCGTATAAGTATCACTTATACAAAGGCCACATATCATGTGAGGCACTGTGAGTGTGAGTACAGTACAGGGCACTGTGAGTGTGAGTACAGTACAGTATAGGTCATAGACCGCGGGCGCGCGGTCGCCAGGTGGAGCGTAAGCTCGCGTATAAGTATCACTTATACAAAGGCCACTTATCATGTGAGGCACTGTGAGTTTAAGTACAGTACAGGGCACTGTGAGTGTGAGTACAGTACAAGGCACTGTGAGTGTGAGTACAGTACAAGGCACTGTGAGTGTGAGTACAGTACAGGGCACTGTGAGTGTGAGTACAGTACAGGGCACTGTGAGTGTGAGTACCGTATAGGGCACTGTGAATGTGAGTACAGTACAGGGCACTGTGAGTGTGAGTACAGTATAGGGCACTGTGAGTGTGAGTATGCGTACAGTACAGGTCACAGACCGCGGGTACGCGGTCGCCATGTGGAGCGTAAGCTCGCGTATAAGTATCACTTATACAAAGGCCACTTATCATGTGATGCACTGTGAGTGTGAGTACAGTACAGGGCACTGTGAGTTTGAGTACAGTACAGGGCACTGTGAGTGTGAGTACAGTACAGTACAGGTCACTGATTGACTGACAGGTCGCCAGGTGGAGCGTAAGCTCGCGTATAAGTATCACTTATACAAAGGCCACTTATCATGTGAGGCACTGTGAGTGTGAGTACAGTACAGGGCACTGTAAGTGTGAGTAAAGTACAGGGCACTGACAGCGGGTACACGGTCGCCAGGTGGAGCGTAAGCTCGCGTATAAATATCACTTATACAAAGGCCACTTATCCTGTGAGGCACTGTGAGAGTGAGTACAGTACAGGCAAACATAGGGCACTATGAGTGTGAGTACAGTATAGGGCATTGTGAGTGTGAGTACAGTACAGTATAGGTCATAGACCGCGGGCGCGCGGTCGCCAGGTGGAGCGTAAGCTCGCGTATAAGTATCACTTATACAAAGGCCACATATCATGTGAGGCACTGTGAGTGTGAGTACAGTACAGTGCACTGTGAGTGTGAGTACAGTACAGTATAGGTCATAGACCGCGGGCGCGCGGTCGCCAGGTGGAGCGTAAGCTCGCGTATAAGTATCACTTATACAAAGGCCACTTATCATGTGAGGCACTGTGAGTGTGAGTACAGTACAGGGTACTGTGAGTGTGAGTACAGTACAGGGCACTGTGAGTGTGAGTACAGTACAAGGCACTGTGAGTGTGAGTACAGTACAGGGCACTGTGAGTGTGAGTACAGTACAGGGCACTGTGAGTGTGAGTACAGTATAGGGCACTGTGAATGTGAGTACAGTACAGGGCACTGTGAGTGTGAGTACAGTATAGGGCACTGTGAGTGTGAGTATGCGTACAGTACAGGTCACAGACCGCGGGCGCGCGGTCGCCAGGTGGCGCGTACGCTCGCGTATGAGTATCACTTATACAAAGGCCACCTATCATGTAGGGCACTGTGAGTGTGAGTACAGTACAGGTCACTGACCGCGGACGCGCGGCCGCGTTGAGCAGGCGCGCGTGGCGAGCGCGGCGAGCGCCCGAGCTGCCCGACGTCGACGACGAGCGCGACTCGCTCTCAGACTCGCTGGACGACGACGACGATTCTGTCAACACACCACAATCACTTCTTTAAGCTTATATATATGTTATGACTAAAAAATCAGAGTTTATTGAATCGTAAAATCCAAGAAGCTATCGATCAAACCTTTACTTCCGTCAAATGTACCGGACGCCGCTTCAAGCGAGCTGTAAACTTGACGGTAAACTGAACCGTGTATGGCATCCATAACAAAAGAAGCGCATGTGCTATCTCGCTTTTTTTACTGTGATTTTGTATCTCACTCGTTCAACCTCGCTGCGCAACGCATATCAGTGTTTACAGATTATTGTTTCGTACTGACGACTGTTTTGTGCCTTGGATCCGGACTTTGTTTGCCTAACCATTCGGATTTTTGATTGTGATCACTACGACTTGGCGACCACCTGGACTTTTATGCTGAGACGGAGAAGCTGGCCAAAGTTCCAGAGCTGTTGCCGCCCTCTACGTGGGAAGGATTCCCGATAGGATACACCACGAAATGTTTAACTCCTATAAGGAAGGCAGACTCCCTGGTCAATGTGGTGGTGGACGGCCTCAAGTTGTTGACGAAAACATAGTACTACAGCAACGAGAACAAGACCCGATAACTTCGGTTAGGGCTATACAACGACGCAGAGGGATACCGAAGTCCACCGTTCATTGAGTGCTCAAGAGGCATGGATTCATTTCCATTTCACGTATGACGTGTGCTAACTCTGTTAACGAGCGACTACACGCCGAAAGTTCAATTCTGCCGCCGCATGCTTGAAATGCATAGGGAGGACCCCATTTTTTTAATAAAGTGCTATGAGTCAGCCTGGAGAAAGGACGGCTACATGAACTTATACAATTTACATAATTGGCAATTAGAAAATCCGTATGAGTTAAGAGAAGACAGGTCTCAGTACCAATTTAATATAAATTTGTGGTGTCGGATTTTTAATGGCCAGATTGTGGGCCCCGTTGAGTTTTTTCACCTATTAAATAAAAGCATTACTTGGAGTTTTCACGAGAAACCCTACCCACGGTCCTTGAAAATGTTTCCAGTGAGCTAAGGAGAGATAATGTGGCTTCAGAATGATGGGTGCTCCGATGATCACTCCCCGCTCTATGTCGTACTATTTATTGAACACCTTGTATGTATAAAAAGTTTTTATGTGACTTTGCTGTAGTTTTACAATTACAAAAAAGTTTCATCCATCCTATTTAAAATATATATAATTGTATAAGTGTTACATTCATTCGCGTCGGTGTTCAGGTCGCGTCTCAGTCTACAAAATAATTATCAGCTTCTCGTTTCAATATTTTGAGCAGCACGATTTCGGTTTTGGACCTTACACTTAAAACAAACAGCAAAATATAATGGATGCTTAATGAATAATATATTACCTGATCCAGACGATGACGATCTTGAATATTTTTTCCTATTTCTATTGCGACTCGACGCTTTACTACGACCATATGGATCTGATTCTTCCTGTTAAAATTAATTTCATTTTCATTGTTTTGTTTGTGAAAGGAGGAAAATAACACCAATTTCAGGATTTCTTTATATTTCTGAATGCATTGAATTCAGCAAGGATTATTTTTTTTATTTTTTTATTATTTCAATTATACATAAAACATATTACCAGAGAATTAGAAAGCAGGTAACGATAAATGTATAGGAAATAGACTTGAATAAATTGTTGCGTTATTTAATCAAAAGTACCATGTGAGTATTATGCCACGGATGACAGCCATTGTAGCGCGTGTACCTTGTGTCGGTGTGGGTTGGCGGACAGATGGAGAGCGCGCACCTTGTGTCGGTGCGAGGCGGGCGGCGGCGGGTTGGCGGACAGTTGGAGAGCGCATACCTTGTGTCGGTGCGAGGCGGGCGGCGGTGGGTTGGCGGACAGCTACAGAGCGCGTACATTGTGTCGGTGCGAGGCGGGCGGCGGCGGGTTGGCGGACAGTTGGAGAGCGCGCACCTTGTGTCGGTGCGAGGCGGGCGGCGGCGGGTTGGCGGACAGCTAGAGAGTGCGTACCTTGTGTCGGTGCGAGGCGGGCGGCGGTGGGTTGGCGGACAGCTACAGAGCGCGTACATTGTGTCGGTGCGAGGCGGGCGGCGGCGGGTTGGCGGACAGCTAGAGAGTGCGTACCTTGTGTCGGTGCGAGGCGGGCGGCGGTGGGTTGGCGGACAGCTACAGAGCGCGTACATTATGTCGGTGCGAGGCGGGCGGCGGCGGGTTGGCGGACAGCTAGAGAGTGCGTACCTTGTGTCGGTACGAGGCGGGCGGCGGTGGGTTGGCGGACAGCTACAGAGCGCGTACATTGTGTCGGTGCGAGGCGGGCGGCGGCGGGTTGGCGGACAGCTAGAGAGTGCGTACCTTGTGTCGGTGCGAGGCGGGCGGCGGTGGGTTGGCGGACAGCTACAGAGCGCGTACATTGTGTCGGTGCGAGGCGGGCGGCGGCGGGTTGGCGGACAGCTAGAGAGTGCGTACCTTGTGTCGGTGCGAGGCGGGCGGCGGTGGGTTGGCGGACAGCTACAGAGCGCGTACATTGTGTCGGTGCGAGGCGGGCGGCGGCGGGTTGGCGGACAGCTAGAGAGTGCGTACCTTGTGTCGGTGCGAGGCGGGCGGCGGTGGGTTGGCGGACAGCTACAGAGCGCGTACATTGTGTCGGTGCGAGGCGGGCGGCGGCGGGTTGGCGGACAGCTAGAGAGTGCGTACCTTGTGTCGGTGCGAGGCGGGCGGCGGTGGGTTGGCGGACAGCTACAGAGCGCGTACATTGTGTCGGTGCGAGGCGGGCGGCGGCGGGTTGGCGGACAGCTAGAGAGTGCGTACCTTGTGTCGGTGCGAGGCGGGCGGCGGTGGGTTGGCGGACAGCTACAGAGCGCGTACATTGTGTCGGTGCGAGGCGGGCGGCGGCGGGTTGGCGGACAGCTAGAGAGTGCGTACCTTGTGTCGGTGCGAGGCGGGCGGCGGTGGGTTGGCGGACAGCTACAGAGCGCGTACATTGTGTCGGTGCGAGGCGGGCGGCGGCGGGTTGGCGGACAGCTAGAAAGTGCGTACCTTGTGTCGGTGCGAGGCGGGCGGCGGTGGGTTGGCGGACATCTGGCGCGCGGCGGCCGGGGAGGGCGCCCGACGTCGCGGCGCGGGCGGGTTCATAGCAGTAGCTCGCGCCGTCGCCAGCCGCCTCTCGCGAACGATCACCGACGGCGACAACCTACATAAAGCACCACTTAATATTTACAATGATATTACCTACGGTGTCGGACGCCAACACATGGCCATTAAATGTATGTTTTTAATATCTCACTAAGGGTTATCACATAATCAAGTTACAAGTGCTCGTTCCTAATAAGTAAAGAATGCATCGCCGCGCTTGTATTTCAATTGCATGGGTATTATTAACTACTATTATCATCAACATTACTGTTAGCAACGGCAGTATTTTATTTTCTAGTTGATGACGATATTAGGAAGACGCTGCTACTTATTCCTGGTTTGTTTGTCTTTGTCGCTTCTTATGACACCCACGGAACAACATCCTCAAATTACTAACGTAACTTTTATTGCACATGCTTGTTTGTATTATTAAGTATAAATTGCATGAATGTTCGCATAGCGAAATATTTGTGTGCAGATAAACAAGCGATGTTAGAAAAATTCATATTAGTTCAATTCTCAGACGAAATTCACAGAAATTTGAAACAAAAACTTGAGCAGCGCCGTATGAATAAAATATTATTTTCTAAAGATGTCCTTCGCCACAATGTATTACATTGATTGGTAGTTAAGGCAGATTTAAATCTCGCCATGTCAACACATATCGCGTTATTATATAAGAACATTACATGTCGTTTGATTAGCCTGTATACGCGCTACTGCTGGGCACAGGCCTCCTCTCATTTCCGAAAGTGGTTTTAAAGGCAAGAAAGTGTCCGCCGCGCTGCCCCATTGCGTGTTGACGAAATTTACGTCTTTAAAATATATTTTTTTCTTATTTCTCATACGTGCAGGTTTTATCACGATGTTTTCCTTCACCGCAGAGCACACTTTTTTGTTGTCGTTATTCCTTCGTCGCCTCTTACGACACTCGCGGGATGATGTCGGGTGGCGGACGCTCTAACGCCGCCACTAAGCGGCACATATTAATTAAAGAGTATTAATAACATTCACAAGGAGTTAAAAGCAATTAAATGGCTACTCACAAATTAGATTAGTGATTGTTAGAGATTGATTGTTAATATGAAACAGGATTTTTTTAAACCCAAAGAAAAACTAACCCGCGTTATCGAATAAAATAATATTAGTGTTAATAACATCATTTTAATACATACATTCGTACAAAACTATATTTATGCATACCCCAACTAGACAAGAATACAATAAATTAACAAATTCGGCTGCCTCCTTCTTTTAATTTCAAGTTCATTATATTCAAGCATGTTCAATTCATCACATATGAGCGTATGTTCAAATATTTAAAAAATCAAAATTTACGCGATCGCTCTAGATCGACGTAATATTGACGCACACTGCAATGTTATCTCTGTGTGCATGACTCAGCGAGCGCAAGACAACTAGTACGAATCATTTTGATACAATTGGAACTAAAAGAATAAATTAATTTCGTCGGTGGACGGAGCTAAGACATAATGTATAGAAGAATTGAACCCCCGCCTTCGCAAGCTAATATGTTGAAATTATTTTATTATTTTAGTAAATTGAAGTCGGCTTTAAATTTTTACCCTATTAAGTAGACTGAGGAATGTCACAAGGTTAAGGTAACAAGAAAGCGACGAACTGCAAAATATTTATTACATAAAAATAGATTTCAACGCTTGATATACTTTTAATCTGTTTCATAATGTAAACATAATTAATTAAAGTAACAATTTCATTGGTGTCGACGGGGACCGAACCCGGGTTTCTCGCGTTTAAGCCTCATTTACATTCAGCCCCTGCCACTGCTCCTCGCGCTGCCGGCAATACTTCTCTAAATACTGCCGTAGCAGGATCGCGGGAAGTGTGTATTCACACTCTGCCCTACCACTCACATCGCTTTCGGCTTTCGACTATGGCAGACGTCGAAATAATTACAGCGTCCGCGCTGTGTCTTCTTGCAATACAAAATTATGTTAATAATTTAAAAAGATATCAAGTTCAAAAGAAGATAGATAGAAAATTTATTAGCTTAAAAACATGGTACATAAGATGATCAATGGACGTGGAACTGACATGTTTTGCCATAATTGACATGCAAAAATGATATGAAATACAGCTAATTACACAAACCCAATGTTATATTTTAAAATTATTTCATTGCTTAAAAGTTAGGTGCAAACATTCTTTTTGTATTAAAATATTATGTATTAATGAAATACTTATACAGATCCACAGATCCACTCTATTTGAATTCTTATACAATAAATTGTTCATAAATTATTAATTGAATTATTACATTATTGTTACATAAATAATATTAAATAATATATGAGATTAGTTAAGCTATTATTATTTTAATAATTACACTACAGTATAAATTAATTCATAATTTTAATTATAATAAAATTATAATTTTAAAATCTCAGGCTATTACGCAAATATTACCATTTAACTTATTTTACATTTTAATAAATAAATAATCAATATGAGTTACTAATCGTTTTTAGAAATAAAATTTCAAAGTTCATTAATTCCTTAACCTAAATTTTATATTAAATTAATAATTTTTACTATTTATAATTAATTATGTACATAGGTACAATGTTATCTCAAAAAGAAAGTTCGTATTCGTAGAAGATGATGAATTGTGGTTTTTATCGTTGAAATCCCATAGTTTTTTCTGATTCCAGCAGTTCTAAAAACTTTATTGTATTTTCATTATTCCACTCGAAAGGCATTTTGGTAGATCGTACTTATTTAATAACAAGACGGCACGCACGTCCGTTCATCCAGGCGCTTGTCGCGAAGTGAGCGATGGAGCTGAATGTGAACACTCACTGCCGCTCGCGCTGCCCGTCCTTTGACTTCCGCACGAAAACCGACATTTGAGCGATCGTCGGGCAGTGGCAGCGGCAGCGGCAGTGTCAGCGCGAGTAGCCTGTTTACATACTGCCCTGCTCACTGCCCTGCTCACTTCCCTGCCCAACAGGGCTGAATGTAAATGGGGCATTACGGCAAGCACTTAATCTATTTTAAAGTCGTAAAAGTTGATGGTGACGATGCTAATTATCAATGTAAAATTCGATGCCCTTTATCTTGTATTTCATTAAACAATTTTTGGAGTCAACTCAAACAAATTGGATTAAGTTGAGACGCTATTCGCAGCAAATACGATATGATTTCAGGAAAGTAATTATATGTCATCTTTCGGAACAGAACAAAACTAAAAATGAAACGCAAAGTGTGACTAGAAACTATTATAATTGTAAAACAAATAATGGGATAAAATTTTTATATGTAACTAAGAGCACAATAAAAAAACAAGCGTGCAGTTCACACGCGATAGAAGTGAAACCTTCAAATGAAATATAAAATACAAATATTACGGCAAATGATTTATTTAATATTATAATTTAAACTACAAGTTCGGCATAAAATATAGGAAAATTTTATTTTATAGTAATTAAATGTAACAATCCTTTCAATATATATATTAGACACAGATATTATATTACTTTTTTCGATATACCTTATATAGTATTCACTAATTACAAAAAGATTTATATCAATTTTACCTATTACGATGTCGAGGTTTGGCCGTTCTTGATTGCTTGTTTATTCCATAGACACACGACACCTTCTTATCTTGTTGAACAAAACGCGTAAGTGATGTCTTTTCGGCGGCGTATACGAGTTTTTACTCGCGAGCATTGAGCTATAATCTAAAATGCTTCCTATCTCATTTTCTCCCACGTTAAATCTTACGAATTTATGTGTCTGTCTCTTTTTACTGTCGCTTTTTTCGTTTCATAGACTTTCAAATAACAACGATGCTGAAGAAGTTTTCACTTCAAAAATTCACCATTAATGAACCGGGGATCGATTGTTCTAATAGAAATAAACTATAATCATTCCCACCGAGTCAATGTCGACCAAGTATTGAGCCTACTGCGTTGTTCCGAAGACACGAGAAAACAATTTGAATCGTATTTTGAAGGTGGGATGACAGCTGCAGAAACAAAATTGTATCATGAAATAGCTATCTTTGAAGAATGAGAGAAAAATGCTTACATTACTTTATTATAACATATTTTTACATTATAGGATATTTGCTCACACATTCTAGCAATGTCTCATCGTCTATTTTGATATTGAGCTGTTCACATCTCAGAGATTTGTCGTATACTGCAGGGCAGGCGCCCGGCGTACACGTTCATGTTACAACGTGTCGGGGCCGGGCCGAGCCGGAGCCGAGAAACAATACCAATAAGATACCCACCGACATTCCAACGCCGGGCCCCAGCGGCGCACGGCCGGTCCACGGCCAAGCATGAATTACTTCATACAAAAAGTATGTGTTCGACCGTGTCCCGGCCGGGGCCTGGCCCGGTCGCGACACGGTGTAATGTGAATTATCCTTTATAGTATTTTTAAATTATAATATAAAATAATTGACTAAGTAAAAGCTTTTTTTTTTTTTTGGATATTTGGCATTACCTGTGTTTTGATATAATAATTATAATAGATAAGTTTACATTTAAATGCACGAAAAAAATGACATTGAACAGTTTTTGTGATTTTATGGTATTGTCTTTAATATTAATATTAAATAGAAATATTTCGTAATTTAGGCTCTGTGTTGCACTTCAAGACTATATAATTCGATTATAATAACGCTTAAAATAAAATATTTAGCTTATAATAATTGTTGTATTCGACCCGAAAGATAGTTCTGACGCATATTTTCGTTATGGAGGGCTATGGAGGGATTGTCTTCACTCTAAAATCCGTCATTGTAAATTATGATTTTGCTCTGTAGTGCACTAAATAAAGACGTCATCTTTCTAAAGCCGTAATTCTCTGCAAATAACCTCTACAAATCTTTACGATATTGCCCATGAAAAATCATAAAAAACATGAAGTTTTCGACGCGAATCGCTTAATGTTTTTAAATGATAAACCAGTAGAATTATTTAACCAATTAATCAATGTTGAGATACTGGGAGATTATTTCTTAAAAATAAAAAATCTTCAACTAAGTTAAAAAAATTCTATTATAATGTCTCTTGACCGAGCTTAAACTACAAGTATTAATGCTGGGCCTCAATGAAATCTGATGCGCAGTTGGGGACCGAGATAGTGTAGGAAGGCATGCGTGTGTTCCCAGCATGTCTTGCCTGTGAAAAATGGGGAAAATGTTCTCTCCCTGGAAAGAGTCGCCCTAGGGGCGGGTGGTGCCGCGGAATAGTGCGAAGAAGTGGTCACGGTAGTAGTCCGTTGGCCGATTAGTACATAATGTTTTATTGTAAATAGTATGTACTAAATTTTTTGTACGGCAAACAAAAATAGGACCAACAGGCGTAACACACCAGGAAATCTGCAATCTGTAAACTTATTTATTCCTTACATCAGATTGCTAGATCACGAACACTCATTAAATAACTCTGTTGTTTCCTGCAAAAGAATTTTGTGAGGCTATTGAAATAACAAGCACTCTTATCTCAATAGAAAATATAGCTGGTTGCTACCATATGTTTCCGTTCCGAAAACCCGAATTTATTCAATAGCTCACGAAAGTTAATTTCTACCGAGGTAAAGTTTCGGCCAAGTATTGGCCGTACACGAATCTGCGGCCGAAACCAGTTTTGGTCGAAACTAGCCGAAATCTGAATTTAGGATGGTCATTAGCAATAACTAAAGATCCCCCCTTAGCTTAGTTTTTCGTTTAAATTTTCTTTATAAGTTCATTGTTTTATAATATCGTTTTGAGGAGAAACACCATCTATTTATTCAATTTACTGTTTCTATGTAGAATGGAATTAAAACATATATGATAGTTTGTAGACCTTAAAGTTGTGAAACGCCTTTGTCAAGCGATACCACTGCCTGCATCATGTATTTACGAGACCAGCTATACTATATACCAGTATACTAGAAGTTGTCACGAAAATGGAAATAAAATAATTTTGGATATTATACCTAATATATAAGTTAAAAATATTCATTGAAGAAGACGATTTTTTATTACTAGACTAAAAAAACACATTTACAAATGTTGCACCGTCCAAATATTTTCGTGACACTTTCTTTTTATAGATGTTTTCAGTTTCCGATTGTCAAACTTAATTACGTAGTGTAGTGTGTTCGGATAAACAATTTTATCATAAAATAATGAGAGAAACAGAAGCATGGCCGTTGTTTGAATTCAATTTTACTTAGTAACATATAACTATAACAATAATTCACCATTATAGAAATATTTTTCGAAAACAGCACTTATTTAACTAATTTTAAGTGCTGTTTTAATTACTATATAAAACACGCTTGCGCCAACCGCATCTATTGACCACCGTAGAGTGGTTACACAAGGTCGGCCCGCCCCCGCAGTATTCCCATTCACCACAGTTACTCTGCACAAGTCACTGACCTCTATATATACAAGTATGCTGGACTGGCTACACCATGAAGGTTAGAGAACAGGAGAAATGATCACTACGTACTAAAGCATAGCCCGCCTATCCTTGAAAATTGTAGAATTTATAGCGGCGATGACGTCGGTGAGTAGTGACTGCGAAGTTAGCTGTTTATGAGTACAAGTAGATGAAGTTAGTTGAATAATGTACAAATTTTTCCGCGGCATTGGTGAGAAAATTTTCATGCTCCGTAATTTTGTAATTTTTGACAAAAAGAAACATTACAAGGTGGGCCCCGTGGGGGCCAAAGTCCCACAAGGGGGGAACCCAACCCCCCACCCCCTTCCCCAAAACAAAATTTAATTTTCAAGGGGGGGGAAAAAAAAAAAAATAAACCTCTTTAACCCCCACGCCAAGCCCCCAAAAAAAAACTTTTTCCATTTTTTTTAACAAAAAAAAATGGAGAAATATTTTATTATGCGTGGATGTGCAAGAGGTTTACCATCTAATCGAAAAAATAGACTGAAAATGACTTTTACTGAGCGAACTTAGCGATCGCAGCGCCTCACTTATGGAGTCCATATTTCTGGGACACTATTTTCTACGGTGATCGTTCTCCTGTTCTCTAATCTTCATGGGCTATACCATTAAAAATGTCTGTGCCAATTTGAAGCGCCACTATTTCGCGTCTTGGGAACTAAAATTGACATAATATGCCAAAGTCTGTTGTCTTATTTAAATCTTTTCTCTGTATTTTCAACTTTCAAACTAAAAAACTAAAGTATTTAATGCTGTTTGATTGTGTATAGTTTTAGTTACATAATAAGAATTATTTTTAACAACAATGAGTGTGCATAATCTTGTAAAACTCGTTATCAAAAGGAAAGTGGTATAACATTCCACAAGTGAATTTGCGGCTAATATTAAACAAATTAAAATATAAAAGTACTTAAAAATTTGTTACTAATCTTAATATAATAATTACCAACATTTTTGGCTCTATATTTGCTATATTTGCTTTGGGGATATTTGCCAGAGTTGTAATATTACTGTTGATTTAATAATTTCACCTCTCAGTGGGTCATGTGCTCCTGGTAGATTATCTTCTATACAACCATCCATTACAGCCTATTAAAGTCCACTGCTGAACATAGGTCTCCCCCATAGATTGTCTCATAGGGGGATATTTACCATATTACTGAGTTTTGATAAACAATAAAATTCTATAGGGTTGTCGAGTTCCTTGTCTATAATACTTATCGATGTTCTTTCGTATCCATATCTGTTAATACATAAAGTCGTCAACAACAGATAAATATCAAATATTTATTATTTACAGGTTTATGGCAGCATCGCTGGAGGACTTAAGCACTATGCTCAATGGCCTCAATAGTGTCTCCTAACGGATAGGTCTCAAGATGAACATGGACAATACAAATGTCATACGTAATGTCCATGTCACACCTACGCCGGTGGTTTTGGAAGCACTTAGCTTCGTCGTTGTTTATGAGTATGTTTACCTGGGACAGATAGTCCGACTAGGTAATTCCAATTTCCAACGAGAGGTCAATCGACGGATTCAACTCGGCTGGGCAGCGTTCGGGAGATTACAACACCTCTTCTCGACAGGCATACTTCTAAACTAGATTGTAGAACCAGTGCGTGTTGCCAGTGATGTCATATGGATCTGAGACGTGGTCCTTCACTGCTGGCTATATGAGGATGCTCGAAGTCGCTCAGCGAGCTATGAAGAGGACTTTGCTCAGGGTTTTTACGCGCGGTAAACTTAGGAATGAGGATATCCGCAGTAGAACCTGAGTGACCGACATCGCCCAACGGAGTAGTAAGCTGAAGTGGCAATGGACCGGCCATATAGCTCGAAGAACCGATAACCGATGGGCAAGAAAGGTTCTCGAATGGCAGCTGAAGTGTAGGACTCCCCCCACTAGATGGAGTGACAATTTGGTAAGACATACAGGAAGTTGATGGATGCAGGTGGCTTAGGACCATGCTTTGTGGCATTCCTTGGGGGAGGGTTATGTACAGCAGTGGACTTGTGAAGGGCTTTAATGATGATGAATGATAATGGCATTATATTAATATGATACATAAATAGAATGGACATTACGGGTATAGGCCATCTATCCATAGAGTCCATTCTATTTATTTAGGTATATGTAGGGTATAGAATTTTTATCGATATATTTTGTCACACTGTCTTATCCTTATTATTAGTTCCATGGACGTTCACTTCTGCTGCCAGCGTCAAAATGGCGCAAATCAAATCGCCTCATCATGTCACGGTGTATAGCCAGTCTAGTGTACTTGTATATATAGAGGTCAGTGGCACAAGTACATTCGTTTCCCAACTGTAAGGTCTTTGAACTGTACTTATATCCATTATTTCTTACTTCATATTTTTTAGACAAAATAAATTAAATTATTATTATCACGAAATTTAAACTTAAATCACAAAAACAATATCTGCTCATAGTAACAATAAAATATGCATATAAATTACACACGATTTAAACTCTATTGACAAAAGTTTAGATTAGACTAGACTAGTTTAGCTTATGGTCATCAAAGTTACTTTCTTTCCATTAAATATCAAATTAGTTATTATATTTATAATTTCGTCGTGTTTATGGTTGTATATATACACTGAGCCAAATTAGAACACATATTATATCCCAATATTATATAATGATATTAGTTGTAGTGTTATTTAATGTTAGTATGAATAAACAGTTTGATAATGAAAATTAACCAAACCAACAAATAATAAAATTACCTTTGGCGAGAGGATGACGACGCCCTCCTCTTGCGTCGAGCAGCCGCTGAGCCCGAACTACGCGAGCTGGAATTTGAAGAGCTGTGGACTCAAAGGGACGCCGGGGGAGGTGGGCGGTGCACACACGCACACACGCAAACAGACGCACACGCGCACGCACACGCACTCACACGTGTACGTCCACACGTTCGATCACACAAACGCACACACACGCAGCCAGTAGCGAATCCCAATGATTTTATATTACGCGATAGTTACGTAACATGCAAGTTATGGAGAGTAGAGATGAGATCCGTCAGAAATTGAACACCAAAACACCACAACATTAGAATAATGAAAGCAAACCCAATGGCCAGAGGAGTGGGGGATCGAAGCAATAGGGGAAAAAATATTTTAATTAGTATAATTTTGAACTAGTAGACATTTTTGAAGAAATTAAAAAAAAATAAAAGAAAAAATTAAACAATATGCAACTTTCTTTAACAAACCCATTATTTAAGACTTTCTACTTTACAGTTTCTTTTCATATTTATTTGTAAAAACTATATGTAATAAGGAAATAAAAAATAGAGAATTTTTAGTGTAATTGTGCTATTAGATTCAATTAAATATCAATTATAAACAATTAAAATTAATTGGAATTAAGAACATTTTGCTTATTTTATTATAGTTTAAAAACTTATAACAGCTCATTTTTCGACGATGGCATCTCGAAATTTGGAAATTTTTGAGATTTGGAATTTCTTTTTTGACATATCGATGTAAATAATAAAAGTATATATTTTCGACTTTTCCCATCTTTCACACAATATAGATATTTCAAAAGAACTTATGAGAATGATATAGGGTAAATGTAAGAAAACAATATATTATTAATAAAAATAACAATAAAATCTAGTAAATGAAATGATCAAACATAAAAATTAACGAAATGGAATAAAACATAATATGCAAGATGGTAATGATACTGGAATCCTTCAGTATCATTACCAACCTGCATTTTATTTTGGTTGCTAATGGTACTGGAGGATAAACAGAATGAAGACTGTGACGAAGAAGTATGGATGGATCAACGGTCAACATAATGAGTTGTTTTTGTGAAACATCTATAACGAAAATCTATTACATAAAATCACTTCAGAACTTCCCTGCCATTCTTATATAGACAAAAACTGCCATAGAACAGCAACAACTTAAAATCACTAGGGGAAAGATAGCGGGAGTTTATAAAGTCAATTTAAATTTTAAAATGGACACTATAGTGCTGGTGATACGGTACCTAGAGGTGCTGTACGAGTCCTCCGAAGAAGGCGGGCGGCGGCGGCGCGCAGCGGGCTCGGCGCGCATCCAGGGATCAGCCCAGTCGTCACCGCGCCCCTCCCGGCCCTCGCGCCCTTCTCGCATGCGTCCCTCCCGACCCTCACGCCCCTCACGCACTTCTCGCCCCTCCCGCCCCTCTCTCCGCTCTACTTCTGCTCTCTGCACTATCACCTCCCGTGACGAACGAACTCTTCTCTGGAATCAAAATTGTCAGGTTAAGGACGCACTAAATATAGCATTCGCCAAGTTAGTGTCGTATTGCAACTTATTGACACCTGTAATGTGGTGACAGCATAAGAAAATCACCCCATTTTATACCGTGGGTGTCGTAAAAAGCACCCACGGAAAGGCCATAAGACTCACAAATTATATCTTTATATTATCTCACAAATCCCTCATGTTAAATACCTAGAATGGAGTCTGGGAGCAGTATTAAAGGTACCAGACATCTGGACCTGCGATCGCTAATCTGTAAAGCATGGCGATTATGGAATTATTTCCTACAAAGAGGAAAGTACCTGTGCACTATTCATTATCGATTGAAACAATTCTCAAGTGAACTTTATAAATAACAAGTCAACGTTAATTTATAATTAAGTAATATAGGATAAAAATTAACAAGAGCAGAATTTTGCTGTCAGTGTTAAGCCGACTTCAAAAAAAAAAAGATATTTACATTTCAAGTGTATGTTCTTTTTTGTATTTATATTACACAAAATCTTCATCAATTATTATAAGTTATAAATGGAGTTACGATAGGGAATGAAGATTTTTAATGCAGCTCATTAGACAACATTGAAGTTGTGATATTCCTTAGTCCAGTTAGTCTTAATTCCCGTTCTCAAATGGATAAAATAAGTTAAGAGACAACTAGAATGTAAAAATATTTTAATTTTCTTTTATTTGTTTCAAACAAATAAAAGAAAATTATTAATTAAATTTAAAATATTTTTACATTCTAAGAGGCTTTAATTTTTCTCTACAGACTATGTTTTTGCATCAACATCAGAACTTGAAACATTTAACATTTTTTTTATGATTAAATGGCACAATATTACTATACTTATAAGATATATTACAGTTTCACATGCAGGGCTAACATAAGGTGTAAAGGCAACCTAAATTTTTGCTGGTTTATGTGGTGGCCGTCACTTACATAGCTAAATATCGCAGCGCGTCTAGGTCGTTTATACGACAGGTTTGCTAAATTTCTTCATGAAATTTGAATGATTACAAATTTCCTACCTACCTCAAAATAGGGGCTTATGCAGTATACTAAAATTATATGTATGAATACCTTATGAAATGGTTCTTCTGGTATAGGAGTACGTTCGTCGTAATGTGGTGGGCGATCGTACATGCGTTCTCGCTCGTAGATACGTTCACGATCGTAATAACGTTCACGTTCGTCTACAGCCGGCCGAGGAAAGCGTCCACGATACATCGGGCCGTACGGTCTGCTGTAAATAATATATATATATTTTGAACTACCTCTTTTTTTGAAAACCATCAGATAGTTGAAAACAAAACACTACTATAGCAGCTATGATGGAAATATGGCAGTGGCAGTGGACTTGTGCCTTCTTACTACTACTTCGTACCTAAACTAATAGCACCTTTTGATAAACAAGAACAGTAATCATCGTGATGTTGGTGTTGGTTTTAGTGAGGTAGTGGGTACCTGTAGGGGTCGGGTTCCCGGTGCGCGTGTGCGGGCAGGTCGTGCTGGTGCGGCGGCGAGGCACCCACCGCGGCGGCCGCGTACGCCAGCTCCGCGTCCGGGTCGTGCACCACTCCACCCACCGACAAGTGCAGTTTCTTCTCCTCGAAATCCATGTCCTGCTCCTTGCGCTTGTTTGCTATCCTCAGCATCTACAAATACATCACTTTTCAATGATACATACAACTTTTATTTTTAGTTTATTTAATCTCGAGTTAAAAACGAAATATAAAGGTGATAAGGATTTTAGACCACAGAACAAGTCCACAAACAGAGATTCTTTCTAAGATGTTTTATAGGTACAGATAACGTATACGCGCACCTGAAACGCTTCCATTTAAAAGACGCCAATATTGGCGTATTCGCTCGATCGAGCCGCCAATACGCCAGCGACGTTCACTGCGAACATACGTCACGCACCGCTGTTTTTAATTTCGCAAAATGACTGTTTGCGCTGTGAAATAATGTAAAAACTATTCTTGGAAAAAATATAAAGATAAGAACATCACTTTTCATAAATAAATTTAAAATATTCTGGTCTATTTATTTGTAAAACAATACGAAAGCTATATGTCAATACAAGTAATACAGCACAATAATATTCGAGTGTTGCCTAGCCTATGAAGTGTTTTTACCATTTTTTAATGTCATGATCAACTGAAAAGTTTATCAGTAGAGAGTAGAGACCAACCTATAGAGTTAAACCATTTTGAGGCTTAGGGTTGAATTACATCTGGCTGCACGCAATCGCACTTTCCTGTGCTTCTATCCCTTTTGGTCACTTAGAACCATCATTTACTAGAGTGCAAAAGAGATATACATATACGTCTACCATGCTTTTTTATTTATTTTTAACTGTTACATTAATTATAGATTTATTACTTATCTTCAATATTTTAATGCGATGTTCGTGGCTACATAAAACACACATAACCAACCATATATCCCCATACACACACGCACACAAATGCACACACCTAGCACACACATTTTACACTCGTGCAATCTATAGGTATGTCAATATGAATGAAATATAAAATCTCCCACATTTTTGGGTAATCGATTCGCACTACTATTACCGAAGTCACGCACATTAATGCAGGTATGGTACGTAAGATATGCGCGTCACGTGATACTCACGCACACATGAATCAAAAACTGGCGCCACTATGAGCGTTGCGATGTGTTAGCAACACGGTATCTGGACCTATAAAATATCTTTGGATTCTTTAAATAGTTTACTACAGATATTAAAGTCTAGCAATAACGCAAAATTTGATTACTTCTTTGGCAGTGCGCAAACCGCGCTCCCAGGCTGACTCAGGCGGAGCAACATCACGCGGAGGAGCGGCGTATGGACCGGCAGTCGGTACACCTCGTACTACATCAAACATGTTATAATTGCCTTTATCTGTAACACCTGGGTGAAGGAATCTGAAATAAAGGAATATTTGGGAATAAAAAAAACGACATGGAATTAAATGGATGGAGCTAACTCATTTTTTTTTAAATAAACTATACAAGAGCAAAAAAGATCAATAAAATCTATTTCAAATTAATAATAGTTTTTACCTGCAACTAACACCCCATGTACAAGCACCACGAGAGAAAAATCGGCAAACGGGACGTGGTTCACTCTCCTCTGGTCTGCGTTCAGCTTCATCTGATACCTCACCTTCCTCCAAGGAAGATCCTCGCGACCGGCGACCCGCTTTTGCCTCATCTGTGCCTATATAAAGAAAAAAACATTTAAAAAATAATAAAAGACAATATAAGTTCAAACTATTGTTTAATTTCTGCCCAGGAATGCATGTGAGTTAATCACACTATCCTATCTATTCCTAGAATCAAGCAGTAGTAACTGGTTGACTGATTTTTCGCTCGTTTCTTTTTAATTCGTGTGTGATGAAATACGAATAATATTTTTTGATCTTAGCGACATAATAGAAAAAACTGAATTGTTATTTGAATAAAAAATCATGAGTGCAATTAGTTTAATTTAAATTTTCGTGTTTTTAAAAAAATACTAAAAAAAGGGCTCGAAATAATAGATTTTCTCAAAAAAGAAGGGAACTTTATAAAAATGAAAAAAAGTTGGTCTGAAGATAGGACTCGAACCAAGGTAGTATATTTTGTGACCGCCCAATATACCAATTAAGCTATTCATAATCATTAATAAACTGTCAAAATTTTCCTTCTTATTCTAACGATATTGTAGCAGCTTTTTATTGCCTGAAAACACGGATAAAACGACATTTTCTAAAAAGGAATCCTAGCTAGATCAATTTATTGCCCCCGAAACTCCCTGGACACTAAATTTTATGAAAATCGTTGGAGCCGTTTCCGAGATTCCGATTATATATAATATATATACAAGAATTGCTCGTTTAAAGGTATAGGATTACATTCACTGTATTATATTTAATGCTAAGAGAACTACTTTAACATAGGCTATGGGGCTATACCTTACTCCTCAAGGGTAACAATGCACCTGTGGTTTTCTTTGCTCATCTTATTCTTAGCTCATTTGTGGAAGATTAGAAAAAGAAGATATACTTTAGTTCATGTTAATTATTTACTTAACCAAACAAAGTTTTGTAAAAAGTATGAAGATACACAACCTTGCAACAATAAAATTCAAGTTAATATTGAGTTGACAACAAATGAACTGTCACTTTTTTCGATTGGTGTTAGAATGTCATAAAATAGAAGCATCTACAAGTTTTTGAAGCAGTATATAAATAGTGCAAATGTTGTCCGTCAGATGGTTTAGACTTCAAGTAATTGAAACTATTGCAAGTTACAAATAACTTCAACCAATCTTCACAAATTTCGCTTAGGTCGAAAAGCGACTGAAGTAGTGCACAACGTGCAAGGATGAGCAAAGGTGTGCTGTCTTAACCACCAACATTAGTTTAGAAGATTTAAGGATGGAAATTATAATCTCTTTGGTGAACCTCATCCAAGAAGATCTCCTACAATTAAATGTATAAAAATTAGAAGGCTGATAGAAAAATATCCCAGATTGACTACACATTGCCCAGAGGAGAAAATTTAGTGTTCTCATAATACAATACAAAAACCACCTTTATACAAGCTTCTAGAGAATAGCTTTGTGCCAAACCTGATCAAAGTTTTTCGCTATGTCCCAACTTACTGCCAAAGGGGCCCTAGGGCTCGATCGCAGTCACTAATCAGCTGATGCTCATCAAGGTACCTACCGCATGAGCTGACTGCTAATAAATGAAACAAGGATGGCGATAGGCCTGTAGTTGGATGGATCAGAGCGGTTACTTTTTTTAGGGATCGGGTGCACAAAAGCTGTCTACCATGATTTCGGGACCACGCCAGGCAGTACGGATGTGACGCATTAGAACCGGTGCTAACTGTGGAGCACACATCTTTAGTACAATTGTGTGGATTTCGCAGGCCCCACGACTTTAGGATATCCAGGGAAAGGAGTGCTTTACATACTGATCACTGTGTGAATCGCACATCAGGCATAGAGCACTCACACCGCGGGATAGTCGATTGAACTTTATTTATTCTAATTTTTCAATTGAATAAATGATTAATAAAAACTTCGGCATAGCTCAATGCGTGATCTGATTTTGGCCAAATATCAAAGTTGTTTTTTTAACCGAAGCCAGAGCTTTGATCACCACTATAAACAATTTTGCCAAATTAAAACAAAAAGGTAGTAGTTAATTATTTAACATAAATGTTATTACTTAAGCTTTTATTGCTCCACAAACCTTTCTCGCCCACTTGCTCTATGTCTCCATTAGATTTATCCTTGGGTTTAGTCTCTATGCATTCACCTTCTTCCGCTTCAAAATCCAACTGTTCTTCCCCATCCTCTGTATTACTTGTTTTCTCCTGAGGTACCTAAAATATAAATGATAAATAGCAAAGCAAAAGTAAATTATAACATTATCAGTTGAATTTTGCTGCTCATTAGTAAAATAAACAACTATTTCTTCATTATAATTTATAAAACAACAAAAACAGGCAAATTTACAAAAATGGAAATATCCTTACTTTGTCCATTTTTGGTGTATCATTTTTTCCATTATCAGATTTTGGTGAAGACTGCAAATTTGTACCAACTTTTCCATTAGTATTAATATCCTGATTCCTTTCGGGGGAAGCAGGGGGTGATTTTACCTAAAAAAATAACAATTTAGCTTGTAAGTATTTTAAAGATTCCGTCAAGGCATTATGATCAATATTGTACCTTTGATTCTTTATCAACTTCTTCTGGTCCAACTGAATCCAAGTCAGATACATCAGATAAATCTTCATGACTAATGTTATGATCTTTTCCATCATTTTTATCACTTGCTGCAGATTTACTTCTTGAGTTCTGGTCTTCTTGATCTGACTCCATTTCTCCTGAAAGATTTATAAGTTTTGTATAAAGCCAATATATAAATATAAAAAGCACAATACATAAGTTACATATCATATTCATTAAAAAGAAGTGTATTTAAAATTAAATATTTGGAATCATGTAGTGTGGTGAAGAATATCCACTACCCCGTATTGGATGTTGTAAGAGATGACAGAGGGAAACTGATAGGCAGCAATATCTTCCTGATAACAACTCAAAATAAAAAGAATCTTCAAAATTTGACAGCCCTAAAATAAGCATTACATATTACAATCAAACTAATGTGTGCTAAGGACAGACATTAAATTTCTTACATCATTTCAAATAATTTTCTACGCAGTGGATATTTCACTGTTTTGTTGTAAATCATTGATTTTTCTTTTGAGGATTTACCAATAAAAGTTAAAAAAAGTTGAGGAAAAAAGATGGCTATATTATTATTTGAAAGAATATGTCATTAAGCAGAATGATAAAAGTTTAGATATCAATATTTTTGTTTGCCAGTTATAATGGAACATGTTTTATAGCAGCTCTCACAAAATCAACTCACAAAGAAGGACAATTAATCTACCAGGATAACACTTAAGACTATCCTGTTAGAAAAATAGCGGAATGTTTAACTATGCAGGCATTTTGAAACCTATATCAAAATTAAGAACAATATAATTAACTTATTAGACCAGTGTCCAATTTTTTTTAATAATTCAATTGAATGGCATTAAAGAGTAGCTTTAAGGTGACTCTAGTCGACATTATTTCCATAGAAATTTCGGAGGGGTTTTACTCCGCTGTTTGACAGTGTACATCCAAAGTTAAACATGATATCGTTTTGTCTCATTATTAATTTTGTCTGTACCGAAACAGAATAGTAAAATAAAAAGTCAGTAAAAAGTTACGAGCTACCAAAGATTCGTTTTTATTGCCAATTTTAACACAACTTTGGGCGTAAATTAGTAATAAAAGCAGTGTAAAATTTCCAAAACAAAGTCGGTACCGACACAGCTCAATTATCGAAGAATTCAATAAATTTTATTGGTAATTGATTCATGCAGTGGTTTTTTCATAAAACCCCTCCTTCCAAAGGCCTTTTCATATTTTTTTACGCGCGCGTGTTTATATGAATTATCGTGCATCTCACTGAATAATGTTTCCCCCGGTGCGGTGCGGGAGGACGACACTTACACACACACATGCATGCGCGGTGACGCGCGCTTATTCTAGTTTTATTCGACTCAGTCAGCTGCGGCCTGTGACGTTCGTATGATTATAGCTATACCTGCGCTCTAAATTACTACGCTACATTGACCCCTGCTTAAACTTTGGATTAAATCAAATTGATATAAGCACAGACAAAAATAGAGGAATATATAAATAAAATTTTGGAAAAAAAAACACGATCTCAAAATTTTATTAATGTTCCGCTAATTTTATCTGTACTTACCTATGTCAATTTGATTTACATTCGATTATAATTATATTCTCAGACGTGCAGGTTTCCTCAATATGTTTTCCTTCACCGCCGAGCACGTGGTAAATCAGCACAATTGCAATTAACAATTTCATTGATACCGGCGGGGATCGAACTCGGGTCTGCATGTCTGAGAAATTAAAAAATATATATTTCGAAGAAATGTGAAGTTCGACAACACGCATTGATGACATCCCTTAAAACCCTCTCAGAAATTAGAGAAGGCCTGTGCCCAGCAGTGGGACGTATATAGGCTGTAACTTTACTTTTTTTTACTTTTATAAATGTGTTATTTTACCGACGAAAATTTTAAAGAAAAATAAAAAATAAGCAACCGACAACCTCCTAGGTCCCTAGGTGACTTGCGAGATGTCAGTGTAACAAAACAAAACGGCCCAGAAAAACAGACTTTCCAACTGATAGCTAAATCAGCATGCAACAATTTCATTGGTGCCAGTGGGGATCGAACCCGGGTTGCTCCCGTACTGTGATACCTATAACGAGCGCTAACCATGTGAGCTACCACGGCTCTCAACGACATCGTTCCGTTCGTGTACAGCGCTGAAGATAGCAGAGTAAAAAATTAGAGATTGTGGTGTTTGAAATTTGTCATCTGTGAGAGTGAATTTTATCTGTGTACTCTGTAACAAATAACTATATAGAAAAAAAAGCTGTTATTTTAACATTACAAACAGACACTTAAATTTTATTTATTTGTAGATATAGATATAAGATATTATTCATTTTGGTGTCATTTTAAAGGGAATATCATGTACTATTATAATAATAAAATAATTCTCTCCAGTAAATATTATGCTTTTCTTGTAAAACTCGAAATAACAAATAAATACGATTTATTTTTATATTCCCATATGCTTTATTTTCATCCTTTATTTTTTATTTAACCAATTTTCTTTTAACAAAATTAAATTTTGAATTTGTTGAGCTTTTTGAGAATATTTTTATTTGAATGTTAGGTACCTATTTAGTTTTTCAGTAGTAATCGTTTTTGCCTACCTACTACTACCTGCCAAGGTACGTCGGTACTAAGGAAACAGTCTTGACGGGTCACTTGTCTTGATAAAAACATGTGTTTACATCTAGTGATATTGTGTGTATATAAAAAAAGTAAGAAGACAGGTAAGTATTTTTGAAAACAATTTATAGGTAGGCAGAACTAATTACAATTATTATCTAAATATTATAAATGCGAAAGTTTGGATGGATAGATGTATGTTACTCAATCACGCCAGAACAGCTGAAGGGATCTGGATGATATTTAGCTCAGAGATAGGTTATACCTGGTCTGGAATAACACATTTTTTGATACCGTTTATTCAGGTATTTCGTTCCTGTGGGATAATTTTCGAGTTCACGCGTTTGAAGCCGCTGGCAACAGCTAGTACGGATATAAACTGCGATGACTGTTCCAGTTCATGCGGCGTCGTAAACTCTTGAGTGATCGCTTGCATGACCACCCGGGGAAAACAAAACATAATAAAATAAGCAATCTATATTAGGTATCTATAGAGCCATAGAAGTATAGTATAAAGCGATAACGCAGCGCAGTGCCTAATAATTTAGTACGAGTTTGTAGGTAGGTACTGCTGATTTCTCAGCAAGCGTCGAGCGGCACAGAATAGGGTGGTATGTATGTGTGCATCGTGTTCGTGTAACTTTGTTTTTGTTCTAACGGTTCGGAACGCCGTACGAACAAGACGTGCGTTCTAATTGCTCTTCACTGGTACTATCTCTGTCGGGCACGATGCCAGGTGAGACAACGTGCTTTTTGGCCGCGCCCACCAATGAGTTCGAGCCCGCGACTTGTGCCACCTTAAAAGATAATGCTGTGATACTGCTACCAGTAATTAAATGGGTTTCATGAATTTCTGCAATAGGGCAAAGATTTTTATTTTCCTCATTGGACTATAAATTATTTAATTACATATACTATTTAAAATGCCTTAAAAACAAATTAAACTATATATTAGTATATGAGTTGATTAAAATTGTGACTACCTTGTGTTTGTGTGTACAGAGCTATTTTTCAAAGAGTATCTAAATTTTATATTTAAGTTCAAATATATACTGTTATTTTGCAGTAAATATAGGTTAATAATACTTCTAGTTTTATTTGAAATTAACCCAAATAGTATGTGATTTATGGGCTACAACAACGGATACATCCATCCATCATTGTGTGATATAATTCACAGCATTTTTGCTGACTGATCGACCCTTAGGAATGTGTTTTTTTATTTTAGATTTTTATGAATGACAATCAGTTAAAATAATACATTACCACACATTTTGAATTTTAACAATAAAAAGAACACATTTTTTAAATTAATTTTTGTTCACCATTCGCCTATATTACTTATTTTGAACCTTCTCATATATTAAAAAACAACCCTGTATAGAGTGCACATGCACATAACAGCAATATTAATCCTGTAAACTTTTCTAATTTAATCTTATGTAACATTGCTCACCTTCAGAGATTTCTTCAGTGGCTGGATCCTTGACATTAGTCCTCTTATTGTAAGAGGAACTTCTGCTGGACTGACTAGATTCTGATCTGCTGCGACAATGTGGAATTGTAACCATTTTTTGTTCGGCTTTAGTATGTCTCCTCCACTTTTCTTTAGGACTCCAATCAGATTTTTTGACTGATGGAGATTGAACATGTGATGAATGAGATGAGTTTCTATCTGGAGAAGGACTTGAGCTGGGGGAATGACGCACAGGTTTTCTTGAAGGTGATGTTATTTGTGAAGCAGAATCTGGTGAGATAGGCTGTGACCTAGAATCTGGCGAAGCAGCTGGCGACTTTACCGAACTACTAGGTGACTGTGGAGTTTTAGGACCTTCACCAGTCGAAGGTGGTGCAGAAGAATACTGTTCTGGTTGCTCAGGTGATCCAATGTTTGATCCTATATCACTTGGAGACTTCGGAGCATCTGGTGATTTAGGACCTTGTGGAGATGCAGGCATTGAATTTTCAGGAGAGTTAATATCAGAATGAGCGCCACTTAAGTTATCTGGAGAACATGGCGGTTTACTAGAGAGTTGTGATCTTTGAGAAGATTGAGACTGACTTTCAGGTGAAGGAGATCTTGGGCCATTAGATCTTGGTGATGCTGGTGAACGGGATGGAGACTTTGGGTTCTTTTTAGACCTATCACTTCTTCCTGAAGATGAACTTCTTCGACTCCTGGAACTGGAACTACTACTGCTTGAAGAAGAGCGAGCATCTCCTGGAGCATCATGTGAATCTTCAGAGTCCATTCCTGAGAACAGATGTCGATAACTTGGTAAAGACTATACCTCTTAATAAATATTAAACCAGACCAAACAAGCAAAGTTTACCATTTATCATTAGTATAATATAGGTTGCCAAAACTGTTCACACAATTCAAGACAATTTCAGAAATTAATAGAAAAACTGCATTCAAATAACCTATTTGTAAACAATTATAAACATCTTTGGAATTTGTTAGGTGCAAACATGTGTAAATAAATTTCTCTAGACAATTATTTAATAAAAAAAAGTTGAAACAAAAATAATAAAAAGAACAGGAAATGTAAATTATTTAACAACTTTTTTTTAAATTAGAAGAAAATGATTTCTTAAATTTACGCGAACACTACACATTGAATAAAACTAAATTTACAGATTTATCGCATTTATTTCACTACTTTTACTTATTTTTAATTCCCGATGTTTCGGGTGCTTTACAGCACCCATGGTCACGGGGGGGACTGAGATGTTGATGTCCCAATGTCATAGTTAGTCCAGCTACCTTCAGTTTTTGAATATTAATGTTTGGTCCGATTTACGCAAAACAAGCTTATATTGTTTCAGAGAGCAAGAGGGAACTGTGACATAAAACATCTGGCCGTGGAGCTTCAGCACATCAAGCAAGTATTGCAAGACAACAAGCTTCGGGTCCCGCTCCTACGTCACAGTGACCGAATGAAGCCGGCCACAGTTAAGCGTGTACCTGCTGTACTACCATATGTCAGAGGAGTCACAGACAAGGTTGGCTACATCTTGAAGCGAGCTTCCATTAAAACATACTACAAGCCGCCAAAGAAGATTAGTCAATTTTTACCATCCGTCAAGTGTAATATCCCTCTACAAGATGCAGGAGTGTACAAGTTAGATTGTGAATCTCTTACATAGGTCAAACAAAAAGATCCATAAAAACCCGTGTGAAAGAACATATAGCTGACGTGAAGCACCAACGCTCCGGGAAGTCTGCAGTCTGCGAACATGTCCTTGCAAAAGAACACCGATTCCTACCAAGGATGATACGTGAGGCTATTGAAATTAAAAAACATCCAAATTTCAATAGAGAAGATGGTTGGGTGCTGCTACCTTGGGATCCTATAATTAACAAAATTAAACCCAAACCTAAGCATACCACTGCAAGACTTCATGATACCATAAGCTGGTTTTGCGTAAATCGGACCAAAAATTAACATTCAAAAACTGAAGGTAGCCGGACTAACTATGACATTGGGACGTCAAACATCTCAGTCCCCCCCGTCGACCACGGGTGCTGTAAAGCACCCGAAACGTCGGGAATTAAAAATAAGTAAAAGTAGTGAAATAAACGCGATAAAATCCGTAAATTTAGCTTTATTCAATAGAAGAAAATGAATTATGAATCATAAAGCGTGGCCGTGGCACTCGTTACATGTCTTTGTCGTTCAAATATTTTGTTAACACGATTAAGTAAACTGAATGAAAAAAAATTTAAATTATCCTCAGTACCTAATTAATGCAAATTTTAGATTTATACTTTGAATCGATGACTCTTGTTTAGTAAGAACTACAACGTTCTGATGTATATTGAAGACTCATCCAGCCTTACCTTGAAGAAGACGCCTCGACGCCAGAATCGGTGGCACTTTATAACACTTTTCATTTCGTAAAGACTTTTAACTTTGCAATCACAACACAAACGAAACTTAGGTCTGTCACATGTACTTGTGAACTTTAACTTTCTAGTAAACGATAAACTGACGAAAACTTATTAAAATCAACACTACTTCAACATGGCTGTGATATAGGAGGAAATATATATGAACATAATAAATAATCACTTTTCATAACTTCCGTAAGGTTACCTTACGCCCTTACCTTAACTTAGTTGAATAAGACGATAATATTCTTGATGCAATTATAAAATATATAATTAAAAATTCTTCAGTTTCCGCCGCATCAAAGCTTTTTCATCTGAGATCTGAGCAGTTTATGACAGCATAGATAATAAATAGTAGAAACCATTGAGTTCTGGTTTTATTTATTTGTTTAAAGGCAAAAGGACATACGCCCACACAGTCTAGCCCGAAGATTATTTCCACATTCGTCATAATATTTTAAGAAAAAAGTATATAAAATATTTTTTGAAATTATATTTTTACAAAATAAACCTCTGCATTAGCCTGAGTGATTTTATTCAACGTTTCCTTTTTGGTACATTGTACCATTTTTCTCATTTTATTTGTCTGTTTTTCTCCAAAATATTCAAAATCTGAATTCTAATATCTACTTGATCACGATCGTCAACTCCGTTCACCAATACATTTGTCTGTCTTTTAAAAACCAAGGATTCATACTTGTTACAATAATAGAATAAAAGAGAATTATTTTAATCGAACAAACATTTCCAAAGATGTTTCCAAGATAAAAGAGAATTATTTTAATCGAACAAATATTACCAAAGATGTTTCCAAGATCAAGTTTTTTCCATGCCATGATCGCGGAGAAGTTTTTGGCCAAAAACCAAAAGATTTTTTGTGCGTTCATGGACTTGGAAAAGGCCTATGACAGAGTGGATAGGAATGTGCTATGGTAAACACTGAACTCATTTGGGTTGAGCGCTGGCTTGATACAGGCATTGGAATCTCTTTATAGGGACTCTAGTTCTTGTGTTAGGATCAACGGGATCTATTAGGACTGGTTTGGCATCCATAAAGGTGTCAGACAGGGCTGTGTGGCTTCCCCGTGGCTGTTCAACCTATTTATGGACAGTTGTTTGCAAAATTTGAAAGTTGAAGAATAATTGCGGATTAAGAATGGGTGAGTTAACCGTCAAACGCCTTTTGTACGCCTATGATCAAGTTATTCTTGCGTCATCGGCGGCTGAGTTGCAAATGATGGTTACATTAATGAACAGATCATTAAAAGAAAGGGGTATGAAAGTGAACGCAAGTAAAACGAAAGTTATGGTTTTTGAAAGAGATGAAAGTAAAACGATTTGTGAAATAAGAATAGAAGGAGAGTTGATTGAGCAAGTAGATGAGTTTGTATATTTGGGTTGCGCATTTAGCAGGAATGGGATGGGCGAAAATTTATCGACCAAATTTGCGATTAATTAAAAACGGGCCAAATTAGGAGTACCCTTAACCAACGAGCATGTATGCGTAGGTATATGGATGTGAAGGAGGCGAGAGAGGTGTGTCAGGATCGTGCCAAATGGAAGTCTGTAGTCTCTGCCTACCCCTCTGGGTGACAGGCGTGAGTGTTTATGTTATGTATGTTATGTTTCCAAGATATTTCCAAATGTATTTCTTCACATTTATTCAGTTTTAGATTTAAACAGTTAAACATTTTAGTTTTAATTTATGCTATATTTTTTCCATTTACTTATTATTCGATAAACACGCATTATCTTATACACCTGTTTACAAGTATTGTGCCTTATGTAATTACTATGCTTTGAGAATTTTGGTTAATCCTTAAGGTTTATTGGTATATATATTATATCGCTTATAACATTAAATCCACCTATTTTATCGTAGACAGAGAATGCTATTCTCTGTCTACGTATTTTAACATACATACGAATTTTAACTACGAGAGTAACGCGCCAATTAAAAAGTAAGCTTGAGGTCACTGCATACAGGGTGGGATCAGCACGTACACGGAACGGAGTTGCAACCTGGTTGCGTGGCAAGAGCATTGCCAATATGTGAGAAATTTCCTAAGCGCAGGGAATCTTAAGTTGATTGGTTTCTCAACCCTTTTTTCAATCTTAGCATTTTTATTACAATACTTATGGATATCGAACGACTCACTTTTTTAAGTTAATGTCATTACACCACATTTAATTTTCGCATTTATTTTGGCAACTGTTGTGCATTATTTAATGTTTTTCATTACATTGTTTTTTAAATTTAAAAGCAGCGAACCGCGTTCATAGAATTGCAGACACTGTGGACTTTTAAATGGCAACAACAAAAGGAATTCAAAACACTCCATGGAGTAAAATGCTTGTTATCATACATCTCCATGGAGAAAAATAAAAAATATACCCAAGAAATAAATGCCTTCTTGCCTTGAATTAGACTCCGGAGACTATTAAAGGATACGAAAAGTGACATTAGAAATAACACAAAATTAACAGCTCATTGAGTCAATTTGTCAGTAATTATTCTGTTGGCAATACTTTAAAGTTCTTTAACGAAAACATTTGAGTATTAAACCAAAGAAGGCGGCATCGCGAAGCATACCCCTCTGTCAAAGGTACGAGAGTCCGACTCATTCTCGTTGTAAAAAACTATAATAAATACAAAATTATAGTTGCTTCGCGTCGTGCGCCATTCCGCAAGTGATCGTCCCAGTCAGTTGAGCTCCAACAGTAATACCGAATTTTACTGTATTTTCATGAAAAAAAAACACTCATAGACGTCAAATCTACAAAAGGACAACGTGACTTTTCATCTCATTAGGATAATATTTTAACATAATATTATCCTTAAAACTCGTATTTCCTAAATATTTTCTTAAAATACCAAGTATTGCCATCATAGTTCATGAAGTGAAAAATAATATATTCTCAAATAAATATAATTACTACGCAAATTAAATCCATTACCTAAGTCAGTTTGTAATGAATAATAATCATTACATTAAGATGTGTACAAAATCCACTAGATTTTGTCAAATGATTTAAATATTCATCTCAATCTCAACACGATTCTGAATATATTATAATAGTATATAGTATAGTATTTATCAAAACTGCCTCGTTGATCTAGTGGTTGTAGTAGTGCGACTGCCGATCAGGAGGTCCTGGGTTCGAATCCCGGGTCGGATCAAAAAATCAATTATTGAGTTTTAAGTCGTCAAGAAATTGTCAGTGCCTGGAGTCAGGAAGTTGGCGGCGTCTCATCCTCGTGCCTCAGAAAGCCGTAGAGATGTTAATCCTGCACCTGATCTCTCTCCGGTCGTGTTGGTTCACCGTCCCATCATATTATGAGAGTGCGGGAATAGA